TGGGTAAGATAGATACCAAGAGCGGTGACGAGTCTCATAGTCGTAATACCGACTCTCGTCAACTCCACACAACCTCTCCTTCTCAACTCTGTTCCTCAGGAAGTGTCGAAAAAAAATGTATAAAATTGTATAAAATTGTATAAAAATATATAAAAATTGAAAAAAAAAAAAAAAAAACAGGAGAGACTCTGCAGGAAAAAATACAGGTGGATTACCGGTGACGGTGACATTCCAAGCCAAGGCCTTCCTTCCATTAGGTAAAGAAACGGTAAACCCTTTCAGCGCCCGCCAACAAACCTCTCTGGCTCGGCCCCGCCCCTGACATCGGCCATCGGCCATGGCCCTCACGGCTGTCATGATCAGCCAATCATGCGAGGGGGTGTGCGCATGCAGCAGTTGCGCTGTTTATACATGTATTGTGCTTTTATTATACTCGTTTCATATTCCCTCTATCTCTCTCTTCTCTCTCTCTCTCTCTCTCTCTCACACACACACACACACACACACACATCTCTCTCACATCTCCCCTGCCTTGGATGTAGCAACACCGCTCGTACTCGTAAAGGAGAGATGGATGGAGATGGACGGAGAGAGATGGAGCGAGATGGAGAGAGAAAGAGAGAGAATGAGTGAGAAGAGGGAAAGCTGAGCAGCCCGTCAGAGCATCCGTCCTCCTCCTCCTCCTCCTCCCCCTCCTCCTCCTCCACTGACCTTTACCACGTTGCTCTACAGATCACATGTATCATTTGATGCTTGGCCCCGGTTTTGGGGGCTCAGCCTTCCAAGCCATCCAAGCCATCGAACGCTTCCATCTCATCAACGGCGCCATCAGCGCCTTTTTTTGTTTTTTTTTTTTCTGTTTTCGTTTTTTTTTCCGTGTGTGTACGGGTTACGAGAATGATCGAGTGCAAAAGTACTACTACCATTCATTACTGGACTCTTTACTAGCGGTGATATGTATACACACACACTCTCTCTCTCTCCATCTCTCTCCCTCTCCCTCAATCCCAGCTCTTTGTCGTACCCATCCGTCACCTCGTCTCAGGGGTTTACACGTCGACTTGGCATGTTCATCACCGTAAACCTACTTCGTGATACTCGTGACTAGATAGCACCACATACATCATGTACACAGACATGTTCCATCTAATCCTCCCAAGACTCGTAATGCCCTCCTCATCCATCAGCGGGGGACTCGACTCCCTTTCTTCCCGTCTCCCGCTCCACCCACGAATGTACATGCACAGCAGACAGCACAGCTCAGCACAGCTCAGCACAGCGCATCTCGTCTCGTCCTCCTCCTTGTCCTCCTCCTCCTCCTCCTCCTTATCCTCCTCCGTAGCTAGACGCAGCTACCTATTCCGGGCATCAGCAGAAAACTCGCAGACAGCCCACCTACCCTCTTATCTTCTTCTCTCCTTCTCTCCCCCTCAGGCTCCTGCAGGTCCCTTCCCCTCTTGGTCGTGCGGCTTCTCGGAGACCAAACGACTCAATGCCGACACACATCACACATACTCGTACACATACATCCCAGTCACCCCGCTCCCCCCCTCTCCTCCTCCTCCCCCCTTGCCCCCTCCCCCCTGCTTTACCATCCATATAAATAATAATGTTCCGTAGTCTAGTTTTTTTCTTTTCTTTTCTTCTCTTATCATGCCCACCCGTACCAACTATTAATACCACACGTACACACACATATATACACACACATGTATATTATTACTCAAGGACAGCAGAAAAGCTAACACTGCGGCCCGCATCCACTGATTGGCGATCCCCCTCACTTTTTCTTCCGTCCCCGCCTAATCTTTACCCGCTGCTATCAGAACCATGTGTTGCACCTCTCTCGTCGATTCTTCTTGATCTTCTTCTTCTTCCTCTTCTTCTTTACATTGGCAATTTCATGTTAAGAGATACATCAACACTCGCTCTCACATACGTACACGCACACAAAATATTTTTTTCCTCTTCTTTTTCCTTTTGATTTATTTAATTTTTTATTTAATTTTTATTTAATTTTAAATATCTATCTTCTCCCCCCCCCCCCATTTCCCCTCCTCTCCCTTCTTCTCCTCTTTTCTTTGAAGATATCCTCATCTCATCTTGCACTCGTGTCAACCGTGGCTCAGGTTCCCGAACCCGGTACGCTTGTCGCTATCTGTATGGACTGATACTTGTGTGCGTGTGTGCGTGTGCGTGTGTGCGGTGTGTATGTGTTGTATGCGTTGCCTGAGAATGAAAACGGATTTGTTTTTGTGCCTGGCTCGCTGCTCCGTTTTCCCCGCAAAAAAAAAAAGAAGAAAAGTGAGAACTTACTGCTCAGAAGAAGGAGAAAGAAACATGATAGAATTACGATGATACTACGGAGTACATATAAGAAGGTAAGAGCAAATCACAATTTAGTCCGTCCGGATTCCCTCCTTGCGTAGGTTCTTTTTCTTCTCCTTTTTTCTTCTCCTCCTCCCCCCCCCTTAGCTTGTCGTATATACAAGGTTCCATCATCAGACGTCAGACCTGCTACACATGACCCTCCTCGTTCCGGTGAATCCGGCATACAATAATGTATATAATATATTATGTAGTATGACAGTCCCTTCTCTGTCTCTCTCCCTCTATGTGTGTCTCTCTCTCGGTACAACGACTTTTATGAGGTTTCCTAGTGATTACGTGTACAGATTCGTACTCATCCTGTTCTACCTTTATACCTTGCCTATAAAAATGTCACAGACTTTCCCACGGCGTAGCTGGAAAAAAAAAGGAGAGAAAAAAAAAGAAGTTTTGTCTAGCGGTTTCACCACGTCAATCTCTTCAATGCAAAGTCACTCTTCACATCAAGTCGATGACTGCATGATGAAGAAGTTTGAGAGTATGTGTGTGTGCAGCATGTACCTGTCATCGATCAACCGCGGAGACCGCTGCCTGAAATGAGGCCGCCTAATCTGCCTGCCTGAGGTTGGTCGTGATCAGTATTGCGAGGCCAGATGGATGGGAAGAATAGACGGAATCCGTCACAACCTACGACTATTACTCCGTACAGATAGATGCACATGATGCCATTGCTGCGCCTTGTCTAGATGCCGTGAGTCGGCCCAGTCGTCTTTGGGAAGGGGGGGGGATTGTAGCCGTAATCGCCCTCAGCATTCGCCGTGTTGCAAGATGATGTCGTCAATGTACCTACCAACCCCCCAACGTATCCATCCCCCTTGCCGTGACACTCTGTCTTCTACAATACCTATCTCGCTCGCGCAGCAAGTCTCTCCTTACTCTCTCTCCCCTTCCCAGAGCACACGCGTCTTCGAAACTTACGGCCCGGCTGTCGCGGTCGCGCCGGATGCTCTCGCCGTTTACACACAAGTCTCAGACCCTGCGGTTACCGGGGATGGCAACCCCCCCATCAACCGCCATAGCCGTCACTTTTCGAAGCCACCTCACGCCGGTGTTGAACCTTCCCGCTGCACATCCAGACCCCCAGAGACCCCCTCTCCTCCTCTGACTCTCCCCTCTACTCCCACTTCTCATGATCGACAGGGCAACATGCCCGGAGCGGTCTAGACATGGCTTGATCCATAGTGGCACCACGCGACCGATTGCGGTGCTCGACCCCACCGCGCGAAGCTTTCCCCCTTTCATCCGACAGGAAGCGGAGATTGACAGGAAAGGGATCCGTCATATCCCCTGCCCGTTCGACTCGCACCCGACCTTACCTGAAAAAGGGAAGGGAAGAAGAAGAAGAAAAGCTGGAAGAAATCCGGGGGAAGAGCTAGCCTCCGGTATCGGGCAGAGCTCCTATGCCCCATGTCCCAGAGTCTAGTAGTCGGATCATGGTGGGTATGGAGCGACACCGGGGTCGTTGAATCTAAGGTTGGACGAGCAGGGGGGCCCGGGGGGGGGTGGGCTGCTACGCTCTCTCAGGCGACGAGACGAGATGGATTGTCTCCTTTAGCTGCATGTAGCGTCCAAGCTAGCGTACGATATATTAATACTCGTGGCCCGAGAAGACGCATGGCACCGTGTACTTGACGTGACACTCATGTCCGGCTACCGTCCGACGTTGGATGATCCACCATCACGGTTCGGTCGCATGATATCAGTAGCCTCGGTCAGACGAGCTTTCTCGACAGCTGCGGGCTGCACTGACGGAGAGAGCTGCACGCCCGTTGTCGGACTAGGTTGGGATCTGGCCATCTCAGGTCGGGACGAACGTCTCCGTCGTCTGGGCTGCGAAGATGACTGGGATATACCTACCGAACTGGGCCGACTCGGAAGACTTGGTGAGGACGGCGGTGCACCCGGGATGGAACGCTTGGGACTTGGCCAGACGAATGGGGTCCGATCTCGGGATGGTGTATATAGCGTGTGTTGGATTGACGGGGAACGGCAGACGATCGTCATGACACTCCTGTTGCTGGACTGGCAGCTGCCAGCCCATCACAGCCGTGACCGTTCTCGGACGTCGTCTCGACTGCTCTCACGGCTCTTCCTGGCCGAGTGCACGTATCGTAGACTCGACGCTTCAGAGAGAAAGAAAGGAAACTCGGTGTGGGTGCCGACTACGCGTAGAGATCCTATCAGCTACAGGCCAGCCTCATCATCCGCCCAAGCCGACCCCTCTATATCCACTATGAGATGGTAGCACCCCTCCGCCTCCGTTCCGATGAGCGGGGTAGCCCCTTGGGAGCTTGAGGTGGCTCAGAGGTCGACGGAGCGCAACGACGGCGGCAGCACCCCCGGGAACACCTACAGACGTCCTCGCCGCCGGACGAAGGGGGACGCCGACGAGACCGGTGGACGAGGCTGAACAGTGACGCACATACCCCGGGGGCCCCCCTCGAGCGCTCTCTCCTTACCCTGGCAGGCCACGGCGAAAAGCACCGTCAAGGCCGGGTTGGACGGGGTTCCTCCTGCCCGGCGATGAAGAGAGGGGACAGGTCGAGGCGCGAGAAGCCGGGACGAGCCATGAGCCCTCACAAGCGCCCCGTACTCGACGTCGGTCTCGTCGCCGTCGTCGTCGTCGAAGACGCGGCAGCTGATGCCCGTTTCCGTCTGCCAGGGCGCGTCGGACGACCAGCTCCATCCGACGCCTTCGGTACTTCTCTCTCCCCAGCCAGTCCACTCGCCCGCAATCACCGACGAGTTGTCGTCACCTGCGGCCTACCTCCTCCGAGAAGAAATCGAAGCCAACAGTTTTTCTTCTTCATTTTTTTTCAAAAAAAGGAAAAAAAAGTTATAGACCCGATGGCGTCGTTGGATCTAGGCACCACCGACTTGACCGGAACCCCCGCACCTTGAGTCGCCGACCATCGAGCCGGTACCGAGACGCCGCGTAAAGCCGACGGCTTTTACATTGGATAATGCCATGAGGCCTACGGGGTCAGCCACTTGGACTCGGGACGTCACCATTGCCTTGGCCGGTATTGACCTCGACCCTATCAGGGCGAGACCAGGAGTACATCTATGGATTCATCGCACGTACTCTGACACGTACTCTGACACGTACTTCTCTCACGGACGATAATACACACAGAATCACCGTTTTGAAAACGGTGACGCTACTTGGATATGCCGTGATTACACGTAATAGAGTCTAGAACATGACAATCTTGTCCAGCTTAAGAATCTAGGTTTTTTTTTTTTCTCTTGATAATGTTTACTTGATCTTTTTTTCTTTTTTAGAAGAAAGAAGCAGAAGAAAAAAAACATAAATAGAAACGATTAAATCAAGAGGGGGAAAAAAAAAAAAGGTACAAAAAATCGGAGAATCCCCACAGACTTTATGCCATCACAACTCTGTTCCACACGAGCTCTAGAATCTCCTTTTTGTTGTGGAGCAGAGCAGTGGAGATGGTTTCTGCTCGTCTACCACGACCACATCATCATGCCGTTTCACCATGACCCTCTCTTTTTTTCTTTTCTTGTTTTTCTTTCTCAACTGGTTTCCCTCCACACGTCCCCCCTCTTATATCTGAGAGAGAGAGAGAAGACGAAGAAAAAGATTACTACCGAAAAGGCATAAGAGCAAGATCTTTTATTACCGGTACGTGGCAAAGTCGTACAGCCAAACAAGGTCGTCTCAGAACAATGGTGGTCCCCCATCATCAAATGTTCACCATACAGATTACTCGTACACGTAACTCCAACTGTCCCCCTCTCTTCCTTCTACTTCTCTCGGCATGAAAAACCTCGATACGATGAAACAGAGGATCGATCCAATCAGACGCCTAAACTCGTCAGCGTCAAAAATGTAATCGCCAACCCGGAGACATCATCAACTCCCACTAGCGCTACTACTTGATGGGAAGCTCCGGTAATATACACACAAGCTCAGCCGGGATCAGAGACTATTGTCAGCTCTCACACTTGAAGCTTTTGTGCGTGTGAGACATGCAGGGGGGGAAAATAAAAACTCCCGTCTACGTCGATGAGCGTGTACGGCGGCAGGAACAAGGAATTTAACCGTGGACCTTGGGCGATGATTCAACATTACGTGACGTCTCTATACCCATCAGGCGTTCAATGTGTCCTCGATGCTCTCTGCTTTGCCACCTCCCCGACCCCGAAACATGACGGGTCCATCAACACATTCATGCAATCCCCGTAAGCCTGCATCTTAATCCTTGAACTGCCCAATACGCGCATAGTCTTCCTCGGCCAGCCTCCTCAGGCAGTCAGACCCTCGGCCAGGCTCTGGTACACCATCCCCTGGAATCGTAAGCCCAGACATCTCCGAGGCCACGGCCATGGCCCGTCGGAAGCCCTCCCCGAGCCTATCATTGGTGTCGTCGCCGCCGCTGCCCTTGTCGCCGTGCCTCGCGGACTGCTGCTCCTCCTCCTGCTGCTGCACCTCGGCCCATTCGCCCCGCAGCGTCCCAACGGCGCCGAGACGTCCGAGGAGCTCCACGTAGCGCGCGAACAAGTCGCTCTTACCCGGTGGCTCCTGCACACGTACGTGGTCCTTGATGATACTGCGGTAGGAGCATGCTCGTGCAGGACATGTATCGGATGCAGTGGCCTCCGTGCCTCGATCCGTGTCCGTGGCAAACGACGCTTGCCCGAACCCGGTGAGGATGCAGAAGAGGGCCTTCTTGCCTTGCCGCGTCGCTAGCGCCGGGTTCTCGCCGCCGCCAAGTTGTTCCAGCCACGAGCCCATGGAGGCATGGACGTCCGCTGCCAACATGCCCGAGCTGCCGCCCCCCACTCGTCTGCCTCCGATCGTTCGCTCCCGCAGCTGGGAGGCCGCCTGTTGGACGAGGCCGAGGCCCGCGAGCGACCTCGTGCGCAGCCCGAACAGTACGCACCCAGCCACGTCGCTGCCCCCCGTGATTGACGGCACTCTTGCCGCGAGGTTGTTGACAAGTGCCAGGACCTCGTAGTGGGGTGGGCGGTGGCCGGCAAAGGCGTCCAGGATGCGGACACAGCTGTCTCGAATGGCGATGGCGACGCTATCGTCGAGGCTGCAACCCCGATCGATGCCGCCGAATACTATACGGCGGATCATGGCGATGCCGCCCCTCTCCGTCTTTTGCTCTCTGATGGCCGTCGCGAGCACGACGGACGACGGCCGAGGTCCGTCCTCTGCCGAGCCCAGACTATCTCGACGGATCATCATCCACCGCATGAGCCTCTCATCGTCCCTGGCGGCATACGATGGGATGCCGTTCCCGACACGGAGTTGCCTCATGTAGCCGGGTCTTTGGCGTGGGTCGCCCAGGCTGGCCACTTGCCGGATCGCTGACATGTTGCCGTGAGAAGGCTCTGCGGTAGGTAACTCTGGTGACTCGTCGTCCTTGGGGTAAATGTTGGAGAAGCGGCGGATGACGAACTGCGCGGGCCTCGGATGTTTCCTGAGCACGGAATTACGCGCCTTGCCGGTCGTATCGTTGCCGCCGTCGAACCCTCGCAGGGCGACGGATAGAACGTCGTACTCCGTTATGTGTAGAGGGTGTGCCGCATCCCGATCGAGCTCACGTGCCTTGGACCTCGAATGGTCCAGCATAACGGAGAGCTGTCTCATTCGCGCCTTGACGGCCTTGTGTTTAGGGGAGACAGCCCACTCCCCGTCGAGCCTCTCCTCGTCAGCCGCTGTGTACTCTCGAACCCTCCTAGAGTCCAGGTTCTCGATCGTCTCGGCGTCGAGGTCGAGGATGATGTCGGGCATCTCGAATAGTCGAGGCATCTTGGGCATATCCTTGCCTTCCTCCTTCGTGGCCACGGTGTAGTATACCTCGCCATTACCGTCCGTGCGTCTCGTGAAAGCCTTTACGGTGCGCTCGTGGCGGTGGTGAACATGGCCGTTCCCGTCGACGTGCTGTCTAGAGTCATGGTAGCCTCGGCATGGGCCGTTGACGGTGACCCGATGCCTCTGCCACGACGCAGCAGGCAGCCTCCATGGGGTGAGAGGTCTCATCTGACTGAGCAGGAGCCACTGCCAAGCATCCAAGATAGGTTTATCCTGTAGGCGTCGCCAGATATCCACTCAGAGACGGACAACGGAAGGGACAACGGAACAGACGAGGGACTGGGAATCGATGAGGACGGACAGAAATGGCAAGGAAAGGACAGTCACCAACCGGTGCTCGGCATCGTTGCATCGTGAGGGGACACCTGACTACCGGTGGCTACTGGTGGCTACACGGCGAGGACGGCATCCTCTCCTGAGCCCTGCAATCTCGCGAGTGGCTGAATAGCTGACCAATGCATTCTCGCCTGCTGGTGTTACAGGCGGCAGCATCTCAAGAGGGTGTCATGGGGTCAGTAAGGGTTGCGTCGCATTCAATGTCCCATCTTCCGGCAGCACACAACACACGACCAACAACTTCACGCACAACACAAGCTCTGGTCCAACGCCAGTCACAGAGGGGGGGGCAATAGGGAGGGGGATGACGGTACAGGGGGTTCCCACTTCCCCGAACCGCCCCTAAGCCATTGCCGCGTTAGCGTCTCGGCCTTCTGTCTGGGGAAGTGGGGTAAGCCCAAACGGGGGGGGGGGGGGATCTGACACACGCTACAGAGTAAACTGTACACCTAATTCTGCTCGCATCCATGGCAGACTCAAGACTTCGACGACACAAACACACGACATTGATAACGACGGAAAAGACAAAATCAGTCTTGTCTACCAAAATTCGAGGAACTTATGAGTCCCCAGGGACATGCGCTTCATTTCCCTGTAATCCGTGGCAGGAAAGGGAATCTCGTCGAGAATACGGTTATCGTCGCGGGACATCAGGGCCCGCTCTTCGTTGATGCAATCCGCCTTGACAATAGCCTCCCAGCGATGCATCCTGTTGGTGTGGCAGCTCGGGGAGTCGCACCACAGGACGTGCTTCCCCTGGGCGTCGAGATGCTTCCTTTGGTGGACTTCGTCCAGGAGGAAGACCCATCCGGGGCTGGCGGCGCCGTAGGCGTTCCAGTAGTACCGGTAGCTGAGGTAGACGCGGCCGCCGGTCCAGGACCAGAAGTACATGGCGCCGCAGACTCTGCAGGCCTTCCAGGGCTCGACGTGGCAGCTGCAGCAGGCCGACCGACGCCGCGTCTGCGGGTCGTAGGGCAGCGGGCCGTTCGGCTCGATGCCGCCGCAGAAGCCGCGCCGTGCGAGGTCCCTGAGCTGGTCGAAGGTGATGTGCCGGCAGCGCTTCTGGATGTTGAGCGCGGCCCTCCTCTCCGTCAGCTGCTTGACCAGGGCGGTGCGGATCTCGTGCAGGCTGGGCGGGTCGGCCGTGTCGACGTCCAGCAGGGGGAAGTCCCATCCAAAGCCGATCATGGCGCGCATCGGCGGGAGGCGCCAGCTGTGACGGCCAATCACCAGCCTCGGGAACTCGGATACCGTATCGACCACGTCCCTTCCCAGCCTTGGGTCGTATCCGCCCGGCCTGTGCCATAGGTTGCCACATATGCTGTGGCAGAGCGCCGGCCTGATCTCGCTGTCGGGGTTGATGCCTCTGGTATTGTATCTCCCCTCGATCTCCGGCCACTTCACCACCTTCGCCTGGCCGTGCTTGCAGGGAGTGACGGTCCCGTACCGCCCCATGCAGCTGAGCCGGCGTCCATCAAGACGCTTTAGTCTTATGTCTTCTTGGCGGAAGAGGGCCAATGCGTGATTCATATTGCATCCGGCGCATTCCACCGGCTCCGAATACCGCTCTAGGGCTCTATCCAGCATCCCGGAATCGTGTTTTTCGAGGCACGGGGCGCAGTACAGATGCCGCTGTACCTGGACCGAGAGATGATATCTGTCCTTGGCCGAGAGGCAGCTTATCCGGAACTTGGCCCATCCGACGTCGGGTCGGGTCAGGTCTCTGTCAGGGGGTATGCCGTCCGGCACTTGCTCGTGGAGGTGGTTGAACTCTGGACGGCTGAAGAGCTGCATGAACAGGAACGATGTCTGTCGAAGGCAGTATAGCCCTGACAGTGGTAGATGTGCCATTATCTCCAGGAGCATCTCGTTCGGCATATCCAAGAGGCCGAGCCGTGGCTTCGGCCCCTCGTCTGCGTCGATCATCTTCTCGGCAGCATGTCCCGGAAATCTGTTCTGTCGAGAGTTAGCAGATAGAAGAGTGAAGAAGAAGGGAAACGAGAGCCACGGGAAGAGTGGCAGTTGATACCTTTAGGAATGCGTATCTCTTCGAAAATTTCCTGTCGAATCTGTTTCGTACGCGCTTCCATAGCGATGTCGATCTCGGTACTCGTACCAAAACTAGGGAATCCAGCACCTCCTTCCGGGGTGGCTCTACACCTTCCGATGACGGCAATGATTCATCGTCTTGCGGCACCTCCACCATCATGCACGGGGGGGGTTCACCCTCATGCGCGCGTCTCTGGTATCGAGGGTCGAGCATCAGCTTAGGCTTGGGAGAGTCGGACCGCCGCAAAAAGGGAATAGGCCCGCGGTTTTGGCCGGTACGGCAATTGGAAAAAACACCAAGCTCATAGCATTCTTCCGTGAAGACGTCAAAGACGTCTTTGTCTGTGCGTAATCTCTGAGTAGGCGCCATTGTAGAAGGTTGGTGGCGGGATAGGGGCCTCTGGGCCTTTCACCCACCCAGCGTCGAGTTGAAGAGATGTCAGGAGAATGTTGGCGGGCGGTAGAAATGTCAGAGGTGATCTTTCCTTTCTCACTGAACCTTTGCCACGTTGGAGTTTCCGAGATTTTTTTTTTTTTTTGAAGAAAAATTTCTTAAATAAAGAAACTCGGAGGAAAAGGAAAGAAAGAGAGAGCCTCGCACGTGTTCTTGCCCTGAGTTGGATTATGGTTCAGGAGACTGACCCTGTGGCTAGAGCCTATCGTCGCGGCAGATGGCATGAGGTCATGTTCGTATCTCTGGAGCTTTCCATGTTCCACCACCCGGCTGTCGAGAAAGGCGGCGGCTACCACCAATGGCAAGCCTGATATGACAGCCATGACGACGGGGCTTCTTCCTTATATCCTTCCCTCGTGGCATTTCAGAAGGACTCCCCTCAGATCAGACTGAGGAGCTGCCAAGTTTGTTGTGCCAAGTTCTCGGTTCGTGGGCCATGGTGGTGTGCAGCCTTGCTGGGTCGACGAATATCCGATATCGTGTCTCTTTTTTTTTCCCTTTTTTTTTTCTTTTTTCTCAAGAAGCTGTCTGCTCCATCGTAAGACGTACATTTCCGAGACACTCTAGGCCTCGGAAATGGAACCATTGCGGACATCCATCCAGTCCGGGATGGAAACCGTTCAGGGCATCCCATCCTTGCAAGACAGAGTGCCCTCCCTACCCACGGGGGAGAGTCCACAACGCCAGAGTGACGGTGACCATGGCAGTCTCAGCCATGCTTGACGACGGGAAAGATCTGTCGTCCCATATGAGACCTCGCACGCCATCTCCATCTCACCCCCACCTCGGCGGCCTTCTTCGTAACTCTGAGCAGCTGGTCTCGGCCAACGACGCTTTCTTGTACTTCAGAGGGTGCATTGGCGACTGGTCCGCAAACTGTCAGCCAGGGTTCTTCTTCTCGTCGTCACTATAATCATTACATTACACACCCATATTGTCCTCCTCCATGAGGGCTCTCTCGACGTCCATTTACCTGTCATCTGCTGACCCGTGACGTGCCTCTGTCACAGCACGCCGTGATATAGATATGATGTAATATAGATGGCGTGCGGCAGGACTTCAACGTCGTCCGTGGTCATGTCAATCGTATCTGATGGTGCGAAAGGCCAGGTGTGTGCGCGAGTCCTTCTCACTCCGCTCGCCTGTCGTGTACCCAACATGCAACACTTCCGGTATCAGATAATCACGTCCAGTCGGTCAAGCACCTTTAGAGTCAAACAGAGTAGCAAGATATCATTTCTTTTCCCCTCTAGATGTACGAGTTAATATTACAGAACCCAAAAAAAAAAACAAGAAAGAAAACAGATAAGAAGTAGAGAGAGAAAAAGTCGGCAGAGAGAACTCTCCATCTCTCACTATTCTCTCCTCTTTCGTTTTTTTTTTTACCCTCCACCTCAGTTCCTTGGAACCGAAGAAAAAAAAAAAAAAAGTCCACCGATTTTCAACCATATAAACAAGATGAGAGGGGTAAAAGCACAAGGGGGGGGGGGGGTTGGGTTATGATAGGATCATGGACACATTGTAGTTGTTTTGTTTTTGTTTATTTCTTCTCCATTCTTTTACAGAGCAGGAAAGAAGTTTGATGAGGGGGGCATGGAAGACAGGTTGGATGAAAAAGTAAAGAAAGACACACAGAAAGACAGAAATAAAAGAGGGGAAATAGATGACAGAAGAGGAATGCAAAAAAAGAAAAAAAAAAGAAATCATTGTCCTGGCCTTGAACTGGCCATTTCTCCGTACCGTCCACGGTGTTTCGTAGTATCGTAAGCTTGAAGGATGCGCGTCTGACTCTCGTCGGCCTGCGAAAAGGCGTAGCCGCGCTGCTTGCGCATACGTTGAACCTGACGGACTTTGCGAATGGCCTTCTGGAATTGTTCCATTCTGTACAAGGGCCGTCAGCATCCTGATTGTGACACGACAAGAAGAGAGACGGCGAAGACGGGGAAGAGGGAGAGACATACCTAGGCCGGTAATCCTGGATGTTATACTTTTGAATCTCTTGGATATGATGATACGTCTCGGGCCGATACATCCTCCTCGCATACTTCCAGACGAAGTCCCTGAGCAGACACAGCACGGCGAGGACAAACGTCTGCAGCCAGAATACGGGGCTGGTGTACAGTCGCGGGACGACACCGAACAGCTCCTCCGACAGGTTCACCATCGGTGCCACGGTGCCATACGCGGCCACGAACGCCCACCAGATGAGCATGCTGCCGGGGATGGCCATGACGTGATACTTTGTCCAGTTGCTCGTCACGAGAGCGGCCTTTCCCAGAACCGTGAGCAGGACGGCCGCGTACGTGGCCGAGCCCCACACCCAGTGGCCCGCGATCTTGCCGTCCGCCTGGATCAGGTCGCCGTACCAGATCACTTCGGAGAGCACGTACAGCACCAGGGAGTGGTACAGAGCGTTGGTGATCCACTCGATGGCCACGCGCATCGTGAAGAAGCTGTTGCGCTGTCCCATGACGTAGAGCTGCGGGTATCGGTCCAGCAGGCGCGCCGAGATGAACTGGTCCAGGATGCCGAGCACCAGCGGCGGGAAGACGGTGAAGAGGACGTTGTAGATGGACAGGAGCCACGACTCGAAGATGACCTGGCCCGAGAAGACGTTGCGGAACGTGTACCAGAACTGCGTCATGTACAGCGCGATGTTCTTGTAGAAGGAGAAGAGGATCGTCTTGCTGACGCGCTGGTAGCTCCACGCGCCGTGCACCAGCAGCAGCTTGCGCAGATACCGGAACTGAGCGATGGCCACGTCGGCGCTGCGCGCCGCCTGCAGACCCTCCATGCCGCTGATGCCCACACCGATGTGCGCCGCCTGGATCATCGACACGTCGTTGGCGCCGTCGCCGATGGCCAGCAGGATCGACTGCTTCTGATACTTCTTGACCAGCTTCACCACCAAGGCCTTCTGCAGAGGGGACACGCGGCAGCAGATGACGGCCTTGCACATGACGGCCAGGTCCAGGAACATCTTCTCCAGGTCCTTCTCCAGGGCGTACGTCAGGCTCTTTCCGTCAATGATGAGGGCCAGGGTCTCGCTCTCGATGGCGCCGCCACCCTGCGTCCGGATCGCCTGCATCTTCTTCTCGATGTTGTCCCGCGTCGCCTCGGCAGACTCCTCGTTTACCATCAGCAGCATCATATCCTCGCTCAGCAGCTTGCAGCTCATGCCAATGTTGATGGCCGTCTCCTGCCGGTCTCCCGTCAGCACCCACACCTTGATGTTGGCCTGCTGCAGTGTGTGGATCGTCTCGGGCACGCCGTCCTGGAGACGGTCCTCGATGGCCGTCGCGCCCAGGAGCGTCATGTCGTGCTCGATGATCTCGGCCGCCTTGTCCAGCTCCTCGGCTCGGTTGCCGCCCACCGTCATCGACGCCTTCTCGAATAGCGCGTGCCATTCCTGGAACTCCTCCTCGGGAATCTCACGCATCGCCAGACAGAGCGTGCGCAGGCCCTCGGAGGCGTACTCTTCCAGATGACGCAGCGTCGACTCGACGTGCGGGTTCTGGTCGTTGAGGCGCTCCAGGATGACCGTGTCGGCACCCTTGCAGTAGCAGCGAATGACGCCGTCGGGGCACCGGTAGATGGTCGACATGCGCTTCCTCGTAGAGTTGAACTCGCACACGGCCAGCAGCTCGAACTCGAGCTCGCGGCCGTTGGCCTCGATGATGACGGAGCGAGGCTTGCGGGCGGTGAACTTGTAGCCGAAACCCACGGCTCCCTCGACCAGGGCTCCCTCGTCGGGCGAGGCGGCCTGGTACTTGACGGTGCCCTTCTCCGTCATCTCGGGGATGACGGTGTGGCAGGTGGCCAGCAGCGACAGGAAGTGGTCGATGGCGCCGGCCGTCTCGTGGCCGTTGGCCAGGTTCGATGTCAGGTCCCTGAACTCAAAGATGCCCATCTCGGGGTTCTCCTGGTCGGCGGCACGGCGGTCCTCGGGCGCGCCGTCAGCGTACTGCAGCCCGCCAATGGAGCACTGCTTGAACTCCATCTGGTTGCAGGTCAGGGTGCCCGTCTTGTCGGAGAAGACGTACTCGACCATGCCCAGCTCCTCGACCAGGCTCGAGGTGCGGCAGGTGGCGGGCGTGTCGCTCTTGTCGTAGTACATGTCGAGATCGTCGTTGATCAGGACGCCGTGCCAGTATTTGACCATCTCAACGGTGACGAAGAGGGAGATGGGGACGAGGGACGAGAAGAGGACCCAGTACGTCACCATGTCCTTGGCGATCTGCGAGGCCGCGGTGCTGAGGGTGTCGACACTTCCCAGCTGCAGGTACGAGAGCGATGAGCCCTTGACGCTGCGCATGACAAGATCGCCGACAGTGCTGATGATACTGAGGAAGAGGAGGATGGCGACCAGGATGAGGACTAGGTAGTTGAGCTGCTTCTCAACCTTGGTGCGCTTGATGGGCGCGGCCGTGGCGTTGCGCATGAGCTTGGTCTCGTGTCCGGTGAAGACGACTAGGCCGTGCACCCAGGGCGTGTTGCGCAGAGTGGCACCGCGGAGGAGCAGCTGCTCTGGGTTGAGGGGCAGCTCCTTCTCGCCGCCTCCGGACTGCATGGTCATGGTGGCCTCGTAAGTGTAGAGGCTGCTGTTGGGCTGCTCCGACTTGAGATGGCCGCCCAGGCGGCTCAGCTCGCTGGGTGAGACCATGGTCGACGTCTCGGGCAGAGCCTGCTTGATCTTGAGGTTGGTCTCGCCGTCGAGGTTGGCCGTCTCGATGTAGCACAGACCTTCAGGCTCGGAGCTGGCCAGCAGCACGATGTCGGCCGGAAGGGGTTTCTCCGACTCGACCCTGACAATGTCGCCGACGGCCACATTGATCCACGGCGTCTCGGCGAAGCTGGTGCCCTTGAGGACCTGGGCCTTGGACGTGTTGAGGGCGCTGTCGGCCTGCTTTCTCCGGTAATCCTCCACGGCCTCCTTGGCGGCCGATATGGCCAGGACAACGAGGAGGGGTGCGATGGTGGTGTAGCGGTTGGTCGGGGACAGGCCGGGGATCTGCTGCAGACCGGCGGTGAAGAGGAAGAAGACGTTGGCGAACTTGGAGAACTGCTCCATGAGGAACTTGGGGAAGAAGGTGATGACGTTGTACTTGGCCGTCGACACGTGGTTGTCAACGTACCTGTTGGCGGCGTTGGCTGGGGGGTTGTTGAGGTAGATTATGCGAGGACCCAGGGTCGAAGGGTCGGGCTTGCCGCGTCCGAAGCCAAACTTGAAATTGCCCAGGTCGAAGCGTCTGCTCTTCTTCTGCTCCTGCTGCTGGCCCGGCGACTGCTGGCCTGGCGGGCCATTCGACGGCTGAGCCCTGTCCTGGCTGGGCTCCGTCAGCGGCAGATCCATCTCGGAGTAGCCCTCTCCCATGCCGAGCCTGTTCTTGACGCGGCCGAGGAGGCCTCCGCCCAGCGACAGAACACTGTTGCGGCTGCGGGCGTTTGACCTGGCAATGTCGTCACCACCATCGTGCTGGTAGTATGATTGATTGTCGGCGGCGTCGTGGTCGAAGTCGTCGGCGTATCGCTGGTAGTGGTCCAGATCCGAGGCCTGGCCGTACCCTCGGTCAAGGCCATCCGTGGGCCGCAGGTGTGTGGTAGAGGAGGAAGGGTCTTGATGACGAGCGGCGAGGCGGGAGGGACCGGTTGCGCCGACGAAGTCGTCGTAGGATACCGAAGGCCGGGCACCGTCGCTCTGCTGATCTAGGGTATAGGACCGCATCATGTCTTCGTCATTGAGGTGTGTGCGCTGGCCCTGGTTGTAGATGGGCTGCTCATCGTCCATATCCAACAGCACATCTTGGCCACGATAATTATTACCCGAGGGTCCCATGGGGGGCCCCCCATGTTGCCGCCCAGTCATGCCCGGGGACGAGCAACGTTAGACGGGGGTTTCGAGATGCCGGCGGCGGCCCATACGGGATCGGCAGGCGAGAAGGGGGAGTTTTACGGGCGCAGGAGCGAGAGAACGGTCGAGGATGGGAAAGATGAAATCAGGTCGCGCGATCGTCTGCAAGATTGGCGGATCGTCTAGTTAAAGATGAGAATGATAACGGTCGCAGATCGTCGGGAGAATGTCTATTGAAGGGAATGTCAGGGGGTATGCGTTGCTGTGCTGGAGTTGGACACAGATTGAGGAGGCGTGTTCCGCGGGAAAGTTGAACGAGGATTTGCTCTGGTAACAACTCAGCCTCCTTTTGGCGCGCGAAAGCTTGGGGACTTGCTTTGGGGATTGACTGGGGGGGGAGAGGGGGGGGGGGGGNCTAGTACTACTCCGTATTAACGGTAGCACTGGTAGACCGTAGTGGCGTATTACTGCGCTGTGTCCGTACTGCTAGCAGCTCGTAGTGCCGCCCGTGTTAGAATCTGTAGAGCCTACAGATCAGAGGTAGAGGGGGATAGAGAGAGATATGGAGAGAGCGGGACCGCGTCTCAAAAGTCTCGGAAAGGGTACAGGCGGTATTATCATTACGAGGTAGAGACTGTACAGGGCTACTCTTTTTTTCTTTCTCTATTCTTCTCCTGCTGGCTCAGGGAGAGTAGAAGTATCGGTACAGAAGTGTTCGTATAGAGATCAGTCACTGATGTTAGGGCTATGTCCGCTTACGAGAAGAAAGAAGACCAAATAGGAGGAAGGTGTTTCACAACCATTTCTGTGCCTTGTGGATGGGCGCTCAACGAGGTCAAGAAAGAAGAAGAAGATCTCAGAAAGAATCCGAAAGGATCTGTTCTTCCCTGAGAACACAGATAGGAACAGCTGGCGATACCAGTTTCGGGGTCCGGCGAGCATCCGTGGATGGGCGCGCTGCCAGATTCCAGGTGGTTACAGCGCGTCCATGGTGCTGCTTCTCCATTGGGGGGGTCATTAGCGATGTTGGGCGCTCGGTTACAGTGGACAATTCACGGTGTGCAGCCGGCAGGTGCCTGGTGCAGGTTGCGGTCGCCTGTGGACCCGCGAAGCCGTTGGAGCTCGTCTCTAGACTGGACAGATGACGGGTACCTGTCTGTATCTTCTCATAATCTGCATCGCCTCACAGTACATCTGAGTACACTCGTCGTATTACTCTTACATCTGTAGAAGCTTGGCGCGGCATCTTCAAGACCTCGGCCTGCTCAGTGTGGAGCTAATCACACCACCGGCCAGTCTTGGGTCCTTGGAGTGTAAGGAAGGAGTCACTAGATTCTCAGGCTTGCATCTCCTCGAAAAAGATCTTTACTGATACCCATCCCATGGCAAAACGACATCTCGCCCAGTCCGCCTTGCCGTCTTCGCTTGCCCAGTCACGAGCAAGGGCCACTAGAGCTATCATCATATGTGGCTAGCTGCTGTCGCCTCTACCTCAAGGTCCTCGACCAGGGTGCACTCCCGTCAACCGTGCGTCGTCATCCGTGGCCCGTGGGCCTCGAAGTTCTTGGCCTGCAGAGAGAGCATCAGGGGCAAATCCGCATGCTCATAGTGACAACACTTCCACTGCCCGCTGTCTACTACGAGTGCTGCTGGGTACGAGTATCATGTATCGATACTGAGCGTGCTAATACTGGGGGAGACACTGCTATTGAGTCCTGCCACGCCAGGTTATAGTATGAGTACGAGTAGAAGCCGGTAGGCGAGTACGGGCACCCTTTACAGGCGACCAACCCTATCATCTTGACACATCCCACGCGCCCGCCTTGTCCATACGCATCCGCCGCCAGTCAACATTTTCCATGTCATGTTTCATTCCTAGTGCTTTCATGGAACGAGCACATTTCGGCCGAATGCTATTTACTCGCGTATTAGCAGATGCGACGAACCGCTGGTTAGATAAGGCTGTCGGAGCTCTCTCTGTCAGTGTTAGGCCCAGACTTACGTCAAGATGCACGTGTAGCCGGATATGAGACATGGACTGACAACAGAAATCCAGATGCATCGTGATTACGTAGATACTATCATATTAATATCGGTATCTCATCGTATTGATATGATATCCCCCCCCCCCCCCCCCCCAAAAAAAAAAAAAAAAAAAAAAAAAGAGAGAGAGAAAAGAAAAAAGTCTTTGCTGACTACTACATTGACCCCGCTTTCAATATGATGAAAGCTGTCATGCTGCTGCCAGTGCCTGCCAATACCTGCCACGGACCGCTAGACTACACATCACCATCAAGTTTTTTTTAGTTTTTCTTCGGTTTTCCACGACATTATTTCATCCTCCCGTTCCTCGTGGGAAACGGGTAGATATTTTGCCGCATGGCGAACCCGGCGTTATTTCCTCTTGAATCCGGTCCTTTTTGAGAAGACGTCAAGATGGAAGATAGATGTATATAGACGGGCTTCATTGTCCACTGAGTACGTGTATTTTCAACAGAACCACCAAAGATAGATACATGACCAACTCTTATCCCCACTGAGATCATCTCGCTGGAAAAGAAAAAAAGGAAAGAAAAATTGTCTTATCTCTACCAAGCTCTCATCGGCGCCGCGGCGGTCATTCCCGACCCGAATCCTCGACCTTTCATCCCGTACAAGCACCGTCAGAATTTCCGTACCCTCGAGGCCCGTGGACCTGACGATGCGCGTGTCGGCCCCGGTCTGGAGAACCAAGCTCCCCGTCGGCCGCGACCACCTCCTAGGTGGCGTCAACACGTGGGATGCCAGCGAGTACGACGATGACTCGCCCGAGAGGCTAGGCGCCGTTGCAGAATATAGCGTAGCCTATCTCTGGAGCCAGCCGGGTGGTGATGGCGATGCGACCTGGACTGGAGCAGCTCGGATCTGTCGAGTCCGAGTAGTCTGATTGTCGTCGATCATGTCTGCAATGAACATGAACACACTTGTATGTACACGTGTACGTGTATATATGGATGCCAAGAAAATATAACGCCTCTCTTTTGTGTGGTGATATCAGATGCAATATACTCGTATAAACATGGACCCATATCGCCGTCTCTTCACCATTCCGTAACAACCCCAACCCCAACCCCAACATACACACACACACACACACACACACACACACACATTACAGCGAAGCCTTTGATTCCTCGAGCCTGGCGATGAACTTTGTAATCTCGGCATTGACAGCGTCAGCAGCCTGAGTAAGGGCCCAATGCGAAGCCTCGACCTCGGCACGGGTCAGATCGGCAAAGGCGGCATCCATGCCAGCGGACATGGAGGGCGGCAGGGCCGAGTCCCTGGACGCGGCGACAAACAGGGCGGGAACCTCGATCCAGGGCTTATCGGACGCGCCGGCAGCCTCACGCCTGGCAAAGAGTTCCAGCTCATCGTCGTAGTTGTACTTGGCCGTGCGGTACCAGTTGCAGGGGCCACGCAGCTGCGGCTCCTTCTGCAGCACGTACCTCCCGACGATGAAGTCGAGCTCTTCCCTCGACACGAGGGGTGACTGGTTGAGCTTGGGCAGCATGTCGAGGATGGCGCCCTCGTCTGTGCTGAAGCCCATCTGGCCGTCGTCGGTGCGGCCGCCGTACAGGGCGTTGAGAAACTGGCCGATGCGCTCGGGGGTCCGGAGCTCCTCCTCCAGCTTGCCGCTCTTGAACTGGAGCTGGTACCTGAAGTTGGGGAGCTTCCCGGCGTCGAGGGCCATCTCGAGCGAGACGAACTCCTGGCGTGGCAACGGGAAGGGCGTGCACACGCTGAAGACGCCGCGGATCAGCTCCGGGTGCCACAGAGTCATGCGCCACACCAGGGCACCTCCCCAGTCGTGGCCGCCCAGGACGATCTGGCCCGTCGATCCGACGAACTTGCGGGCCAGCTCCGCCATGTCGGCCGACACGGACCGGTGCGCCCACTGCGACTCGTCTGCCGGCGCGTCCGTGCCGCCGTACCCTAGCATCTCGGGCGCAACCACCCTGTACCCGAGGGACATGAGGTGCGGGATCTGGCAGCGCCAGCCGAACGCGATGTCCGGGAAGCCGTGGATGAGGAGGATCGTGCCCTTGGACACGTCGTCGCCCTCGCCGAGGATGTAGCTATACGTCTTGCCGCGGAGGGTGGTCGTCTCGTACCTGACCCTTGGGTCGTTGGGTTTCAACCTGTCCGCGCTCATGGTGGTGTCTGTCGTGTCTGTCGTGTCTTTCTTCTTCTCTTCTATAGAGGGAATGAGATGTCCAGGGAACAAGAATGAGAAGAGAAGGGAAGAATAAAGAGGGGAGAGAGGGGTGCGCTGGGAATCGTAGTTATAACATACGTACGTCAAGAGCTCCAGTCCCAAGATCCAACTCATAATGCATTCGAGGTGGGGCAGAGGGGCGGACCGAGGCTCTGTTCGAATCCCGTACGTACGTACGGAAATGCGGACTTGTTGCTCTGTTGAGCTCCCGTATAAGTGGGCTGCTCTCGTGTTGCTATGCAAGGTAAACTAATGAAACGGTCGAAGAGAGTCTCCGGTTGAGCTGGACGTCCCATGTATCTGCATTATGTGGAATTGCCTGCGAATCATTGTCCTACATGTGACAAACAGCAGAGGATCCCGTTGTCTCAGCCGTCACTCTGGACAGCAATAGGTAGTACCTCCCCCACCACTAAGTCGTACCACAATCAATGGGAAGCGGCATTTTTGGTGTGATCTACTGCAAAGTGCACGGATGTGATCTGAATATGGACCCGCGTTGATACTCCGTGCAGCAGTGTCCATCGGCTTTTCAGCCGCTTTTTTTTTTTTTTGATTTTTTTTTTGTCTGAAATCCGGCTCGGTCCCCTCCTATATCGCACCATTCTTTCCTAGTTAGGATATTGATGGCCGAACACGCATCGGGGGTGCATGATAATACAGATCAAGACCGATTTTTCTTTGAATTACTTCCATGCCGAGGCTCAATAAATCAACGTGTCCTCATCTGCCTCCAGGACGACGTCGTCGTGGTGATCAGCCGGTGATACCACGCTGTCCCCGCCATGTTCCTGATTCGACCCCTCCCCGACGGCATGCTTCTCATCGCCACGATCCCAGCGCTCACGCCGTATCAAATCCCTCGCATCGCGAAGTTGATCGTCAATAATACGCTCTTGTTCCCTCGTCAGTTTACGGGGAAGGTAGTACTGCAACAACCGCGGAGAGGTCAGTTTCAGCTTCACTCCGAGAGAGGGAGAAGAAGGGAAATCCGTACTATGTGAGGCTTGGCCCTTGTTTTGAGATGGAGAGCTGTTCGGAGCATCGTAGAGTGCCTGACCTCCACCTGATACATGCATGTCCTCTGTCAGCTCGCTTGGTGCTGCACTGCAATTCCCGAGAGGGGGAAGAGACAAACACTCACAGCTCTGTCGTCGTGCTCATCGCGACGTACCCTACCGAGACGGGCCAGCCTCTCGGAGCGCATCTCGTCATCCTCCAGCCTCTGCCTCTTCAGCCTCTCCTGCTGCCGTCTCTCAATCTCCTGCCGTCGCTTCTGTCGCGAGTTGTCTGCGTCGGTTCGGCTGAGCGTACCCATCAGCCCGCCGAACAGCCGCTTCCCCCTCTTCTTATCCTCGGCCGAGGCGGGTTGCTGTTGGCGTCGACGGCCCGTCTCTTCCTGCTGTCGCCTTGGGTATTCCGGGGAGAAGCCGGAGCCAGCATAGTTGTCATCGTAAGGTGGCGATGAGGCCTTGCGCCTTCTCGAGTCCTGCCGCGCACTGCCATCCTCTGGGGATGATCTGTAACTTCCAAAACCAAAGATGTCAGCAGTTGAGCTAGCAGTAAAGCGCTGGCTGGGTGTGAGCGCACTCTGCGGTTGGCGGCATCGTGATTCTTTTCCCTTCTTGTTCTAATTCTTTTTTTTTCGATCTGTCCGCCCTCTCCCGTTCTAGCCGGGGTGTCTCATCGTCATTTAAAAGGGCTTCGATAGAAGCATGTCGGTCCCTCGTATCGTAGTCATGTGAGCTATTAACTACACAAGCCGTAACAGAAATAAGAGAATAGATTGATGAGTACTGCCTGTACATGGCAGATGGGATGCACTCTGCGTTTTCCCCGCAAGTATTTAAAGTACCCTGTATTAATACTGCGACGCGTTTTGCCCCTCCCTCCCCCAAGAAATCTCACTGTTGGTTAGATGACAAACAATCCCTCAACTTCTAACCACCGCCCAAACGCGCATGACGCAAGGCTGAGAGAATCCAACCACCCCGGAAGCTTTCCTTCTTCTTTTTCTAATCAAGAGCCCTCTCTTGTTTCCCCTTCTGCAACGACAGCGACGACGACGACAACAGCAGCAACAACAGCAACGACATCCCATTACCCCGTCCGCCATGTCTCGCCATCACCCGTAAGTCCTCTTTTTCCTTTACTCTCCTCTATCCCATTCCGTGCGTCTCTCTGAAGGGCACAAACACTGAACCGATCGAAATAGCGACCTCGTCATGTGCCGCAAGCAGCCCGGCATCGCCATCGGTCGCCTCTGCGACAAGTGCGACGGAAAGTGCCCGGTGTGCGACTCTTACGTCCGTCCCACGACCCTCGTCCGCATCTGCGACGAGTGCAGCTTCGGAAACTACCAGAACAAGTGTGTCGTCTGCGGAGGCGAGGGCATCTCCGACGCCTTTTACTGCTTCGAGTGCACGAGACTGGAGAAGGACCGTGATGGATGTCCCAAGATTATCAATCTGGGTAGTTCAAGAACAGACGTGAGTTTTTTCGTTTTTTCTTTTTTTTTTTCCTCTTCACTCTCTCCTATCTCTCCTTCCTCCCCATCTCCCGATACTTCCCTCTCTGCCCCCGGTCTCCGTGACCATTGTCCCTCTCCTCTCTTCTTCTGCCGCTGACCTGTTTCCGTTACATAGTTATTCTACCAGAAAAAGACGAATCGGACGCCAAATTATTAGTCAACGAGAGGCCCGGGGCGGCTCGTGCCTCGTACTTTTGTTCGGACGGGGAAAAGAAAAGCTGGCATTTCATCATAATACACACATATATCTACATGGACAAAACTTCAATACTTTCACGGGCGTTTGTAGGAGCTTTTGGTCTTCTCGGGTTTGTTTTCCCCCTTTGGAGGCGTGTATAGAGATAAAAGGAGAGAAATTGCATACGTTGGAAGAGAGCAGCCAATCTGAATTGATTTTGTTAGATACTCCAAAAAAAGAAGGGGACATGCTTTTTTAGGATTGTGGTCATCACTTGAGGAGCCTGTTGGTACACTTTTCAAAGGTAGATAGACATCATTGCATTCTTCTTGTGTTTATAATCGTGATGCCATGATATGCTGATGAAGAGCCTCATCCCAAAAGCTATTCCCTCTCTTGCTCACTTTGCATAACAAAGGAAATATAAAAAGAAACCCAAAGAAAAAAAGAGAAGAGAGGAAGGAGAAGGAGAAGAAGAAGAAGAAAAGTATAGAAACAAACGAAAGAAAAAGACTAATAACAACAACACCCGACTGAAAGATATATAAAAAAAGTTACAAAAGTTGGTTGTAATGATCACGTCTCTCTTCGTACTCGAACCTCCCCTTCCGTTGCTTGAAGAAGAAAACAGGGAAAGAAGATGATTGAAAAGGGAGGAAGCTATATGTAGCTGACCTTTGTGCCCATGCCGGCTGTCGCGCTAATCTTGGCCCACGATGTACCGAGGACACGCTGCACCCTCTCCCGTACAGCCTTGCTACCAAACATGAAGACCAAGCTCATGACGAACATGAGCAGCCTCACGAGCAGAGCAGGGTTGTTGTTCAGCGACATGCCCAGCTGCTCGATGATGGTGCGTAGACGACCCATGACGATGGACGCCCTGGCTGTGAAAGACAGGGGTGCTGCGGATCCCGGCGTCTTTGCCTTGCCATTACTCGCCCTGCCGGACAAGGACGGCCTCACCGATCGCGGTCCCGTCCTCGACGACGGTACATCTGCTTCTGCTGATGATGATGTGGCCGGCCCGGAACGACTGGTGACGCTCCCGCCCGTACAGGAACGGGGCAGGTCGTCGTCGACCCCGTAGTCGACCTCGCTGCTCGTGGTGGCGGATGATGCAGCCTCCCTCCTGGCGCGCTCCTCTTCGATGCGTCTCCTCTCGCGGGCCTCGTTCTCGGCTCTGAGCCTGGCCATCTCCTCGATGTCGCGGCGGAGCTTGTCCTCCTGCCGCTCGCGCTCCTCCCTCTCGTGGCGCTCCTGGGCCTCCTGCTCCTCCTGCAGGGATTGCAGGGCCTGCAGGAAGGCGTCGCGGCGCTCCTCATCCAGCACGGCCGACATGCTGATGAACTCGCGCGAATAGTCCCACTCGTTGTTGCGGATCAGAACGTGCAGCGTGTACAGCTCCAGGATCTTGACGCGGGCGTTGAGGTCGCGAGGCGTGTTGGCCCCGCTGGGCCCCTTGGACGGCGAGCGGCGGCGGTAGCCGTTTCGCGGGCCGGGAGATGCTGATGACAGTCTGTCGCTTATATCCAAGTTCGGTGTCGATGCCGAGGCGAGGTAGTTTTCTAGCTTGTTCTGGTTCAGGATCTGGTCGCGAGCATGTGCTAGCAGCAGGGTCGCCCTTGGTTTGATCGTCAGCTTTTCTTCTTCTTCTTCCTCTCCTTCCTCCCCTCCAGTGCCGAGGAAGAAATGGATGGATCCTTCCGACTTGTTCTCTAGACGGATAGACAAGAGAAGAGACTCACAAGTTGATGACGACATCCGAATCCACATCAGCCTCGACACCGTGATATCCGTTCCGCACCACCTCGTCCCAGATAAGACCATCCCGGACACTGTTGCATAGGCTCCTCCACTCCTGGCTACCAAACGCGTCCTTCCCTTCATCGGGCTCCAGCTCGACGATGGCGTTGAGTATCGTCAGGTACAGGCTCCATACTTTGATCCGTGTCGAGCGTGATGCCTGCGCCACGGGTGCGGGATCTCCATCGTCGTCGTTCTCGTCCGTCGTCGGCTCCGGCGGGGTGACCAGCGGCAGCACCGTCGATAGGGCTTCGGGGAGTCGACGTGTGAGGAAGAGTGTGGATGCCTGTCGGTACGTCTTTGATATCTGCGAGGTGTGTCGTGTTGACGAGGTTGACGATAGGGACGACGAGAGGAGGTTGGGCGTAAACGTGGTTTGGGAACCCATCGAGTTCCTATAGCTGTTGGCTGACATGACGCGCGGTGTGTGTGTGTGTGTGTCTATCTGTCTGTCCGTCCGTCCGTCCGTCTGTCTGTCTGTCGGTCGGTCGTGGGGGACTCCTTCTTGTTATGCTGCAACTCCCAGGCCAGCAAAGGCGGGATTCCGGGGTGTTTTTTTTTTTTTTTTTGCTTTATATTTTTTTGCTGTGTTGTCGAGCCAATGTGCGGTGTGGTTGGTGTGTGCTGATGATAGTGGAGGTGGTGCTGGTTGGGAGAGAAGCAGGAAGGGAAGAAGAAGAAGCGTGAGAAGAGAAAATGGAGCCGGGGACGGGGACCGGTCTCACTTAGTTACCGATCAACATCAGGCTCGGACAAATAAAAGGAAGAATCGAAATTTTTTACAGACAAGAGTAAAAAAGAAAGGAAAAGTAATATCACCTGATGACGAAGATGAGGGGGAGATTACGGTTGAATTGACTTGGGAAGAAACAAGTGGCACCGCGTCGTCAGGTCGTCACAGGTCACAGGCTTTGTTGTCCTGGATATGCCACCGGTTGGGTTTCGCAGTGGGGACCTTCATTCTTGGGCCTCCGAGAGCGAGCGAGCGAGCGAGCGAGAGAGAGAGAGAGAGAGAGTACGGAGTAGAGACGATGGATTTTTAGCCTCGGTTCCACGTTCTTCTGGGGTAATTTGCTCTCGTAGAAGAAGTCAGCCGAGGCCGGCGAGAAATGCGCGTTGGTGTGGGGCAGCATTGTTGGATGTTTTCCCAGATACTTGGTGACTTGATCTCACCGCCTATTGCTGGTGATGGTGACGTGTATCTCCTTATCAGATCGTATCTGGCAACCGGCACCGCACGTACAGAGTAAGTCCCTTGGTAGACAACACTACCGATCAATAACCAGCCAGTCGTTCCAACCGTAACAGTGATGAGCAAGAGACATGACGATGCACCCAAGATTCCAACACAAGAGTCGGGTCTTCGTAGGCCCCCGTTGCACGTCGGCTGTTCCATGTACTTACCTATCCGCCTTATACATGCAGTAGCTACATGCGAGAGAGAGAGCGTAACATTCAGGCTTCCATCGATTGCATACCCGTTTGTGCGTAGTTGTGTAACGGCCCCTGCTGCGGTGAGTGCTGCACATATATGTGCATCGGTAGATGCTACTACGGCATACACATCCACACAAGGCGTCGGCTCGTGATCTCTACACTGCCCCGTGCCGTCCTCTACCAGGGCCGTGAACATGTTTGCGAGTATATCCCATGATAGACTGACTACCCAAGCAACTCTGAGCCCCAAAATGGCTGTAGCCTGTGGAGTGATAGAGGGATACATGCAATAAGCCAATAACCTAGCGGGGGGGCTTGGGTTCACTCGATCGTCGTCGACTACCATCAAGGTACACGGCATCATGGCAGCGTGCCTCGAGCTTCGCCGAGCATTCGCAAATCTTTTCTAAAAGAGGCCGTTCTTGATGAGGTGCTAGCCGGAGCACGACTCACATACAGCAGATAGAGATAAATATCCAAGCTGCCAACCTACACCTCCTGAGAACTCTTCATACGAGCATCCATAGATGGGAGCAGTACCGGACAACGGAACCCATATACAGCGATGCGGTATTACTCATTCGTTGCGAGCATCTGGCTCGCGGCACGTTTACTCGTCCCCGCCGCTTCCTACGAGCTCCTGACGACAGGCACGACAGTTCAGCTCAACCAAGTGCCGTATTACATCCCGCCTATCTCGGTAGGGACGGCAGCATGTGGGAATGAAACGAAGAGCCGGAGCGGATTCACGCCCATGACCGTCGTCGCCACCAACCAGACGACATTCGACCTGAGTCATCTGGCTGCAGTCAAGCAGAACTTCCTAGCGACGGACGATGTCTTTCAAGACGGGTTTCTTCACAGTAGGCGCATCTCGGCGGGGGAGGAGTTCATACACTTCGATAGCATCGTCATGCCACTAACATCGCATCCCAAGGCATCTGCATCCAACCCGTCGGTCCCGCACCGCTTACGCTGAACGCCGCTGGCTTTGGGAGCCTCGGCGTGAGAGCGCACCACGTCACACGTCAGGACGGAGATGCCCTCCCGGACGGTCCGTATTTCGTATCACCCGACGGAGCGATCCACCGGGCGTACCGCCTGTACCCTGACCTGCAAGGCGCGTTCAGCGAGACGGCCATCGCCAGCGCAGATGGCTCCTTCTCCGTGCTCCCGGCCAACGTCCCGGGGCAGTCGCTGGCCGTTGCCGTCCCGTCACGCCTATACTTCTCCAGGTCTGCGGGGAAGCCTCTTGCCGGCCTGAGGATCGGCGTCAAGGATATCTTCGACGTCCAAGGCCTCAAGACGTCCAACGGCAACAGGGCTTGGTATCACTTCTTCCCTGCCGCGAACCGCACCGCGCCGTCCGTCCAGCGTCTGATCGGCGCCGGTGCCGTTGTTGTCGGCAAGATGAAGACGAGCGCCTTTGCAAACGGAGAGACGGCCACGGCGGATTGGGTGGACTATCATGCGCCCTGGAACCCTCGGGGGGATGGGCTGCAGGATCCGTCGTCGTCGTCAGCCGGTCCGGCCGCCGGAGAAGGTATTCTCCATCGCTGAATTGGAACGCTCAGTTGACTTGCCCAAAGCTAATGCCACTATCAAGCCTCGTATCCTTGGTTGGATATCACCCTGGGATCAGACACCGGGGGCAGCATCAGAAGTCCCAGTCAGCTACAGGGAGTCTTCGGGAACCGGCCAAGTGAGTGCATACGGTATTCTTGCCATTGCCTTTTTCCCCACGTTGGCAGATCTCGATCAAACATATACTGAACATCTCAAGGCCACGGACTTGCATCGCTGGACGGGGCGATGCCTTTAAGCCCGGATTTCGACACGGTCGGCCTCATGGCCAGGAGTCCCGATCTATGGGCCGCGGCAGCCAAGGCCCTGTACGGGGCGAACATGACGACGAACTATACATACCCATCTAGCCTTCTCACTGTCGGCTTGGAAGACGGCATGACACCGGATATGGACAGACAGATCAGAGGATTTCTGGCCAAGCTTTCCAGGTTCCTGTCTGCGAGGACCGAAGCCTTCAATCTTACCCAGAGCTGGACAGGAGCACATCCGGAGGGGCCGTCGCTGACGTCCCTTGTCAACAACACCTACGAGATTCTGTCGGCAAAGCAGCAGACCCGACTCGTGCGAGACCCGTTCTATGCCAGCTACGCCGCCGCCAACGACGACAGACGGCCATTTGTCAATCCAGCGCCGCTGCAGCGCTGGGCTTTGGGGGACGAGTCTCCGTCGACGATCGAGGAGGCGCAGGCAAACAAGACGCAGTTTGCGGATTGGTTCAACGGCAACGTGCTCTCTGCGGACGAGCGCTCCTGCTCAAGCCACATCCTCGTGTACGTCCCGAGGGCCCCGACGCCCAAGTATCGCAACAAGTACCTGTCTGGGCCTAGCCTTCCTTCGGCCTTCTCAACAAGCCGTGTATCTGTCATGAGCGGGACACCGGATTTCGTTGTGCCCATCGGGGAGGTTCCGTTCACCTCGGCCGTAACCGGACACACTGAATACCTGCCTTTGACGGTAGATCTCATGGCTGCCAGAGGATGCGACGGAATGCTATTCTCGTTGGTGAAAGAGCTATGGGAGGCCGGAATCATCAGTGAAAGCCAGACTGGGAGGAGTCTCGTCAATGGGGGGAGTGCGCACATGTGACGGCAGGAACAGGAACCACGAGTTTCCTGCCCAGCAATTTCCCACTTGGTGCATCGCATGTATTCAGCTGTGATACCCCATCTCTGAGAACTTTTTCTTCTATCGAGGCCCTCTCCATCAGATAGGAAGATGTGGTGTACATGTATGTGGTAAGCGACCGATGAATTGGCTGGTGTAGCCGATATCCACAAAAGATCTCTTTCCAGTATACATGGAGCATTGCTAGCTTAACAATAGAACGATGGTGCACTGCCTTACTACTCTATACTAACTACTACTGTTCTCAACTGTACGCGGTTCCTGTGTATCTGAAGAACACTAGTTGTGCCTGCAAAACTTCATGTTTCTCACCCTGGCCGGTTGCAGTCATAAGCTGCAAGCTGCTCCGCATGTGAGTTTCTTGGGCCTATGAATACACAGCCTCTGGCCAACATCTCCTTCTGATGCTAGTACCAAGTCTGTGCACAGCTTCCGTCTAAAGCGGGTAGACAAACTTGAGGTTCTCTCTGTCGGTCAAGTCCAGATCTTCCTTTCCAAGCTGTAGAACGCCTTGGTCGACGTCAAGCGCGTCATCACTATTTTCGTCCGCATCTCGCGCTGCCTTCTCTCGGATAGTATTTTCCCTCTGCAGGTAAAAGCGGATGATCAGGCACATGGCAGGAGAGATGAACCAAAAGGCCGTCATGAATGACCAGGGCAGCACGTATCGTGGCTTATACTTTTCCTGCCAAAACCTGGACCAACAATGTCAACATCTGATGTATGAAGAAGAAGAAGAAGAAGAAGAAAGAGGGAATATAGACAAGGGAGCGGGAAAAGAGCTAACTCTGGGGAGATCATGTTTGCTACTGAAGCAGCTATGATGCAGGTCGACATCACACAAAGCTTTTTCGTGTAGCCAATGGTTGTCGTACCGGCCCATGAAAGACCGAGAAGGTAGGACGGTTTGAAGGTTGAAATCTGCGTGCCGACGACGAGTGCGACTTTGTTTGACCAAGGAGCGGCAAGCTATATACGGGTAGGATATTAGTCTACGTCGCCGAGGAGAGAACCCAGGGCCGACCTTACCATGATGATCCCACCCACGAAACAAGGTATATACGATATCGCACAGGTGTATCCGACGCCCAGATCGGTGGCGTACAGCATGGCGGCCGACACGAGGATGAGGATGGAGCCCCAGATAGGCTTGATGATATTGAACAGGGCACTCTCGGCCGGGGTGAATCCAAAGCCCACGACAATGAGCGGCAGCTGCTGAGACGTATTGTTGGGAAGCTCGTTGAAGAACATGTGGGTGCTGAAGGAACGGGTGTCAGTGCAAGGTAGTCTGCTGGCTGGGAAGACATGTCGGAAGGCTGGGACCTACATGAACAGCCAGCTCTTGGGGTCTGTGAAGCACTCGCGAACTTGGGACCACTTGAGGGTCGAGTTGCATATTCCAGAATGCGTTTCGCGGATGGCGGAGATGGTGTGCACCTTTTCCTCCGTCGACAGCCATTTGGCATCAACGGGGGAGTTCGGCAGGAATATGAACAGCGGGATGCACACGGTAAACGTCAGGATGACGCAGATGATGTGAAGCCACTTCCATGAGTTGATGCCCCCGACCAAGGCGCCGGCGTTGTCGTCCTTGATCAGCTTATACGCGACCATGGTCAGGAGGACGTTCGCAAGACTACCAGAGGCCCACCAAAGAAGCTGCACCCACGGGCTCTTCTTGGGCGGGAAGAAGGCCTGGTGGAGGACGGTGGTCGATGGAACGATCTGCGACTCGGTCTAGAGGGTTTCCATGCCATCGGTCAGCACCGTCGGCACACAAGCAAGATATCAGGGACATCATCTCCACCTTCGCAGCGGACGGCACTCACCATGCCCAGCAGGAAACGCAGAGCTATCAGCGACCTGCCAGTCTTGACAACCGGGTGCATTCCCAGCAGCAATGCCCAGAGCACTAGGGAACCGACAATGAAGTGCTTGTGACCGATGCGCTGTGCCAGGGCAGCGCCGGGCCACAGGGCGATGAGATAGCCCGTGTAGAAGACGACGAACAGGTCGTTGTACTGGTTCTTGGTCATGTCCACGTCGTCAAAGATGCCCATGGTGCTTGCCTGCGACAGTGTAGACTTGTCCAGGTGGATGAGGAAGGCAATCCACCACGTCTGGGCCAGCAGGCACCAAAAGTTCTTGCGGACGAGTCTCTGCTGCTGCTCGGGCGACAGGGGCTGTACTCTGTCCTTGTTCTGATTGTAGAAGACAGCACTGTCGTCCACGTCATTCTTTTGGACAATGTTGAGGCGGCGAGAGGTCGACTTGGGAGCCCGTTTGTCATCCATGCCGGTGTCAATATCCGGGGAGTCTCCCGGCGCTTGAATCTCGATCTTCTGACGAGACATTGTCGAGAAAAAGAAGTCAAGAAGACGGTCACTCACTCCTTTTCTTCTGTTCAAGCCTAGAGATGTTCCTCTTGATTCGCCTGTGCTTCTCGACACGCCAGGCCAGTTAGGTTGAACAAGTCCATGTGATTTATATGCGGTGGGATTTGGGCTATATATAACGTTTTAAACATTTTAGACTTGTAAAGGAAGCTTCAATTCCCGGCTGCTCGAGCTCATTCGTTGGAACCTGTTTAGAACACGGGTCCTTGCAGCTAGATCCAACGGCATAGACCTTCAGCCTTCATGCACGCGATCCATCAAGGTCCAGGTACCGCTCACATTACGTGATATAAAACTGCTGCCCCTTGCTTCCATCAAGGTCCCCTGCCGTCTTTGCCGAGAGGGCTTCGTGATAGTAGCGAGAAGTAGACTAATCTCGTACTTTAACGACAGACTTTCCTCGCAGAGCCATATGAGATCTCACGTATACACTCCTATTAGCGATTACGAGCTTACTTGCAACAACCAACATCCACGGGGTCGCCTTCCCGATACGTAGTCTTCCGTTCTCGATTGTGCGCAGGTCTACAGGATTGTCCATACGGAACTTTTGAATGCTGACCTACCAAGAAGCCCGCCGCATAGTGAAGAGGAGTGCGAATCTCCTCGGGAGTAATCTGAGCGGTGCATGCTGCACAGGACACTGCAATGTACATGAAGCTCTCCTACGGCATACCCAGCCCACCATCCCAAGCCAAAAGTAGAGGTAATAGTTTGTTAGGCAAGCTATCGCTCGGAACCGAGACATCTGGTACCGATACCGATGCAATCAGACGCAGTTGTTGCTCTTTACAGTGCATATCTGATCCAACGTAGCACACAGTCAATAATACTTCTTGTTGAACGAGTTTGCTCTCAACCATGTCGTGATATGCGTCCCCGCTGCGGGGATATTTGTAATACCAAATGAAGGGGCTTGATTCAAGAACCTTGATAAATCACGCGTGCGAACGAGTATGAGGAAACGTTACCGTCAACTCAGTATTCGATCAAACGTATATTCCTCCTCGACGCCGACGCCGCGTTTCTCAACGTGAATCCTGAACGCGGGTACAGTTACCAAGAACGGTTCACAATGGGCAAAAAGGAGTCAGTTGCCATTGTCGGCGGTAGGTCACGACCGTAAAATCATCTCTGTCAGTCCAGTCCTGCTGATAAGACACCATTTTACTTGGATGAAGCCGGGATTTTCGGCCTTTCCCTGGCAACAGCGCTGAACAAAAGGGGTACGTGTACGCGGTGAACAGGGTCTCGGGTTCACATTCAGAGCACGGGAAACGCACGCGCGGGCTCGATAGCTGACCCGTCAGGTAGACTACAAGGTGACGGTGTTCGACCAAAACCGGTACGATGAATCCGGCTACGCGCCGTCATTCGACAGCAAAGTACAGGCGGCGTCGGTAGACCACAACAAGATCGTGAGTTACGGACAAGGCATACCGCTCAACCAGTACAGGATACGTACGTGGACTAAGCAGCGGCAACCACCTACAGTTTCGCGCATCGTACGGAAAGAAGATTCATTACCAACGCCTGGCCCTAGAGGGCCGTCGGGGGTGGGAGAGCATCAACGACAGCCTTGGCGACGATGACGACGGCCCTCTGTTCGTCAACAGCGGAATGTTGCGCGTCCAACCCGACGACCATCTCGGTGCCCTCGAGAGGGAGACGCTGGCCAGCATGGAGCGCGACGGCGTCAGACACACCCAGTTCGTAAAGAGCATCCCAGAGGACGTCGAGCGGGCGCGCCATCTCGGCTGGAGCTCCAAACTGCTGGACGTCGCCATACCTGACAAGTCGCCATCCGGAAAGACATTCGAGGCCGTCCTCGACAGCCTAGCTGGCTTTATCCGGTGCAGCGACGCCTGCAACTACCTTCTGAAGCGGGCTTCTGCGGACGGCGTCACATTCCACCTCGGCCCAGAGGAGGGGTGTTTCCAGAGTCTAGTCGAAGAAGACGGGGATGGGTCGGGAGATGGTAGGAAGGCAATTGGACTGAGAACCAAGGATGGAATCTTTCACAGGGCCGATGTAGTCGTCATTGCTGGTTCGTTTGCCAATCAACCCCCCCCCTTCTCTTCTCCCCCACCCCCCCCCCCCCCCCCCCCCCAACCTCGATCCCCCAGGCGTGGTCTAACACGCAAACCATTCACCTCAGCCGGATCCTTCTCCACGCAGCTTTTGCCAGAACTGGCATACCACCTGGAATCCTCGGCCGGAAGCCTGGCCACTTTCAAGATTGACAGGTCCGACGAGGCGCTCTGGCAAAAGTATTCGCCCGAACAGTTTCCCGTAATCACGTGGAAGAGTGCCCCTCGGAGGCAGGACGGCACAGATACAGGCAGCGTCTATGTCCTTCCAAGGACACCGGATGGGCTTGTCAAGATAGGATATCGGGGTATCAAGGTTCCGCCTCTCTCTCCACCTTCAGACGCATTTCTCGTCTCCCCTCTCCCCCTTGTGAACAGGATGAAAGGCTCACACACAGGCTCACACCGATAGTTCACCAACTTCCAACCGGCCCCCGACGGTGCCAGCTTCGCCCAGCACGGCATGTGGTCAGTGCCTCTGTCTCCCGCTGAGTCTCGCAGGATTCACGGCGATTCCGTACATGCCATTCGACAGTTTGTGTCCATCTTTCTGCCCGACTTCGCCAAGCAAGAATTCCACAGTACCAAGATGTGCTGGTATACCGATTCGTTGGACAATTCCTTCTTGGTACTTTGATTCCGACTCATGTCTTCTTGCATCTCTGTTTCGATATCTCCATATTGGCGAATAAACGAACATCCCTTGCCACTAACTCTCGAGATTTTCTAGATCGACTATGTCCCTCGGTACTCGGACAAGAGCGTCTTCGTCTGCACCGGAGGCAGTGGACACGGTGCCAAATTCCTACCCGTTCTAGGAGAGGTGTGTATTCGATTCTCATGAGCCTGCACACCCAAGCTACATATCTCGCTAACGTATGCTTCTGATTGAATGTCCAGCACGCTGCTGACATCCTCGAGCATGGAAACGAGAGCTCCTCATACATGCGCCCTCACTGGCGGTGGCGCGACGATATCCCCAGAGGCAACGGACTAGATGAGGGTCCCGAAGGCCCACGCAATATTGGCAATGTCACTGACCCCAGTGCAAACCCATGATATATATATCAAGTAAAACCTGGAAAGGGGGAAGAGCAAGCTTTCTTGGCAGCGTACTGAACCAATCTATATGATGACGTTGACCGCCTCGTACCCAATTTCCGTGAGCACAGTTCAATGACATTCCGACGGCCTCGGTGAGGCCCCGGCGTGCGAGGTACGCTCGTTGTATACAAGCAATGGAAACCCAGGATACCCGAAAGCGAAAGGGAAACAGAAACGGGCAGGTCCTCCACCTGGTTCAAGAGAGGAGACTTCATGAGGGAAATTTTGATATGATGCTACAAAGCTCTCGATGCCGTATGAAACCCGTAGTGAACCCCAAACCCCCCGCTAGAACATATCGATGGAAAAAAAAAATCTAAAAAAAAAGGGACGGTCGTAAGATACATACATGTACAGTGATATATAACAAGGCGCGCCTAGTTGACACAGCTGGGGATAGAGGGAGGATCAGACACGCCCGGTCTGTCGTCTCCTCGGTGAGGACCTCACAACCTCCACCGGCTCCTCCACATCTCTCGCCAACATGGACTCCCCCTCCATGAGCTGGTCTTCCCTGATCCAGCCGCTCTCAACGGCGAAGCAGACGATGTCACCGGCGCACTCGAAGCAGGGCGTGCTGTCCGGAGCCTCCGGGTCGAGATACCTCCACATGCGTCTCGTCTCCTTCTTGAAGCTGGCCAGCTGGTGCCTGTCCCCTCTAAAGTTACCCACGAGATACTCGTACAGGTAGGCCAGCCACAGGACATTCGTGTAGGGCGCATACGCCTCCCACGACAGCGGGCCGTCCACCCCCTGGGCGTAGGGTGTGTCGTGCTCCTCGGCTGGGAGACACTTGCGGTCCGCGCGGAGGAGGAACGATCGCATCTGGCGGTACACCTTGCACTGGGGCGCGTGGTCGCTGGTGAATAGGCTCAGGTCACGCTCCAGGTCGTAGGCCACGGGCTTGGCGAAGTCGACGCTCAGATCCTCGGCCCTCGAAAGCCCGTAGTCTAGGATGGTGATGTCGAGGCCCGAGTAGCCGAAATGGGGGCCGCCAGCTGCTGCCGTTGCTGGGTCCCGCTCTGTCGGCGGGGTCAGCTGCTTGATGCACAGGTTTCCCTCGTGGAGGTCGCGATGCTGGTCGGTTCCGCATGTCAGCCGCAGATGAGCAGGATAGAGGCCCTCTAGACGAGGCGGGGAAGGTAGAAGGGGGTGATGGGGAAGGGCTGTGCAAACCTCAAACATGGCAAGATCCTCAGCCCTGGCCAGGGCGATGGCCTCGAGAAGGAAGATATCCCACAGCTGGCTCTCCGTCGTCAGCTTCCAATCCTCCAAGGCCGTCCCCGCATCTCCCAGCTCGACGACGAGGAACTTCGTGTCGTCGAGATAGCGGCTCGGCGAGGGGTAGAACTGCGCCCTCCCCGGGTCCTGCCTCTTCATCCTCCGCTGGAAGGCCTGGTGCGTCTCGAGCAGTCCCTTTGTCGTCTTGCCCTGCACCGTGTAGCGCTCCTTGTACATGACGAATCCGGGGATATCAGCCAGCCACTCGGATATGCGTAGCTCGCCCTGGATCTCGGCGTCGGAGCGGGGCGTCTCGTCCACCAGCCCCGACCTCTCCTGCGTCTTGGTCTGCGCCTTGATTGGCGACTCCAGCCGCATCACCTTGATGATGCTGGTGCCGCGATCGTTGGTCACGCGGTACACCTCTGCGTACGACGCCTCGGCAATCTTGACAATGCGATCGCCGGGGGGGCACACGTCGTCCCATGTCAACGTGCGCAGGGTGTCGTCACGGAGCTCTTCCGACTGCACCGCCGGTTTTTGCCGTCGTTTCTGCACGTCCTCCGTCCTCTCCGTCTCCTGCTCCTGCTCTCCTGCCACTCGCGACGGTGAGGGCGATGGCGATGGCGATGGCGATGGCGATGGCTGCCGGCCCTGGACATTTTTTACCGGAACATTCCTCCGGAGATACTGCTGACTGTGCTCTCCATTCCCGTCGGCTATAGTGATGGCAGATAGCCCCTCCGTCACAGATGCGATGGCGTCCTTCTTCTTGACGTTCATGGTCTTTACGGTCTCCGGTTTCTTCCTCAGCGGGCTCTGGGGCAGCTCGGCAAGGAGGCGTTCGCCCTTGGTGCGCGTCGACCTCTTACCATATTTCTGGGTTGAGGATGTACGGTTCATTTTCGCATAGCTCTCGAGCTGCTGATGCCTCTTTCCTTGATAGACGGTGCTTCTTCAAATATCATCCATGAGTACCGGCAGACATCACACGAGCATTCGGTCATTTGTTTGATCGAGGTGAGATTCGAATCGAGCAAGGGTCTGTGGTTGACAGGGCAACGGCACCCTCCCCATCAGGTCAGAGTGCACCACTCTTGGTTTTGGAATACAGGCGTCGACGCAGCATCACTGATGCACGAAATGATTGGTTTATCGTGAGTTTGTGTCGGTACATCCTATTACGGTGCAGTGTTTACGGTAGATGTGTTAGGGATATGTATACCAGTGTGTATACCAGTATTATGTAGCTGCTGTCGCTAAGTGCGAAACACACTCAGCAGCGATAGCAGATGCGGAGTTCCTTGACATCACCGTCAAGATCGATCTATGTATCACATGGGCTCAACCAATCGACATGTTCAGGCTAGAAAGGGCGACTCGCCATCAATCATTACCCAATGTTCCATACCAGAATATATTCATTCATGATCCTTGCAACATTCTCCATTTTCCCATCAGACTCAGCTATTTATATCAACGGTCGAATGCCACTATTATATGTACAGGGTAAGTGAGCAGCTAGGTGTAAAATTTACTCCGTACAGATTACAGATTACAGATTACAGCTAACCTTATCTCTCTCCAGCAGAGCTCTCTGTAATCTGTACCTCCAGTACCTAACCATTAGCCCTGTGGTACCCTTGAGCTTCCTCGAATTTCTACGAGCCGGAGCACGCCACGTCTCCAAAGCCAAGGGCCCTTGGGGAAATCCACCCGACCACCACCCGTTCGCTTCTCCTCCCCTCATCGCCCACTCCATCAACCTTACCCCATCACCAGCACAACCTCGTCAATTCGCCAGCGTGACAAGCTTTCCATCATGGCGGACCTGTTCAAGAACTTGTTCGGTGGCTCCAAGGACGCAGCTGCCCAGCCCGCAGCCGATCCCAATGCAGGTAAGTCGGTGCCTTCGCTCCCTTTCTCTTTTTTTTTTTAGCCCTCAATGCGATGCAATGCACCACATCATCTCTCCTCATGCCCACCCCCCCGATCTCCAACCCAATGGCTGACGTATAAATCTGTGCTGTCAAGACTTTGCCGACTTTGCTAGTGGTGCTACCGCCGCCTCCCCGGTCGACAACACTGCCGCCGCCGCCGCCGCTGCCGCCACCGCTGCCGCTGCCGGTTCTTCTGCTCCGGCTGTCCCCTGGACGGCGTGGTACAATGTGCACGAGCGCCACTCACTGTCCGAGTTCAAGAGCGAGGGGCTGGTGCTCATCGTCGGTCTGGTCATCCTGGTGGTGCACCTCATCGGGTCGCGCGTCAACCGCAACAAGGCCAAGGCCTGGATGCGCGCGCACACGCCCACGCTAACCAGCCAGTTCGCGCTGGTGGGCTTCAGCGGCATCCCCAACATGGACGATGGCGACCGGGTCAACGCGGACAGCCTGCTCAAGGAAATGTCGCTCTTCGAGTTCGCCACGTACGCCACGGGCCGCCAGAACATCGCGTTTGCCGACTTCAAGATCACGCTGCAGAAGCGCTTCAACCCCTTCATCAGCATTATCGAGACGGTGGCCTCGTTCTTCTGGGAGTCGACGTTCCCGGCGCCCACCGACACTGTCGAGGCCTTCATCTACCCCTTTGACGGCAAGGAGAGTCAGACGGTCCCGTCCATCCCCGGCGCGTCCGAGGTGGCCGGCCGCGGCAGCAGAGCCGGCACCGGCAGCAGCAGCACCTACGACTCCTTCGTCTGGGCCCTGGTCAACAAGTCAGGCATGCAGCAGCTCCGCGAGACGCGCTACGACCTCTCCCTCACCTCGACAAAGGACAATTCCCAGCTCCCCAGCTGGCTGACTGTCATGGCCGAGAGCGCCGAGATCACGAACACGCTCCTCACACCCGAGCTCATCGCCGCCGTCGAGTCGGCCGGCGAACTGTTCGACTACCTCATCGTCACCGACCAGCCCGACTCCCGCCCCAAGACGCTTGGCGAGTCCTCCCCCAGCAAGCGCGTCCTCCTCAAGTACCGCGTTCCCGCCTCCAACGACTACGCCGGCCTCATCCCCCTCGTCGACTACGCCGTCCGCATGCCCGACCAGCTCGTCCAGTCCGCCCGTTTCCGCCCCGAGGTCCTCCGCAAGGTCCGCGCCACCCGTGACCACATGTCCAAGGAGCTCCGCAAGGCCGCAGAGGAGGAGAAGAACGAGGAGCGCCTCCTGGAGCGCGAAAAGGCAAAGAAGGCCAAGCGTGACGCCGAGCTCGCCGCCCTCGACGCCAAGGCTCAGAAGAAGTACCTTGAGAGGGAGAGGGAGAGGGAGCAGCGCAAGTCGCAGAAGAAGCAGACTACCCGTGGTTAAAACTCTCTCTCTTTTCTCTCTCTCTCTCTCTCTCTGTCTCTCTCCTTTTTCACACTTTCCTGGGTCAACCACGTCTCCTCTCAACCTTGTTTGTAATGAGCACGTCGGAATGTGAATACATGACACAAAACAAAGGGGGCGGGGTCGGCAGGCGTTGGCATCTGGGTCAAGGATGGTGGGCGACGTCTAAGTTGGTCAGGACGTTGTACAAAAAAATAATAATACTCATTGTGCTATTGTTAATTACATACAAAACAATAAATTTAATACAAAAATGTTCAATGAAGCGAATACAATCTAATACAAAACATTCAATGAAGAGCACCTACTATCAAAATATTCGACAAGAGGAAGTAGAAAGGGGGGGGGGATCACATATTGATATCAGGGCATCATTTTTTTTTTCAAAAAAAAGGGAAACGAACATCATCGATACAAAATGTTCAATGATAAATATCTAACGGAGAAGAACGTCCCAACATGGAACAACAGTCAATAGGATGAAAAAGAAGAAGTAAAAAGTGATTATTATTATAGGACCAAGAACTATATACAATCGAACCAACGCAAGGATATTGACAGCAAGTCAGAAGGGTGACCCACCGGCAATGCTTTCATTTTTTTTTTCCCAATCTCCTCGTCTCACCTCATACTCGAAACGCACGCACAAGAACAAACATGGATAATCAACGCTCCGAACTTCATTCGTCGCCATCCGTAGCAAAGCGGTTGGTAAACTTGAACGTGGCAAGTCCATCCTTGAAGTCGTTGACAATGTCAGCCGTCTTCCTGGACACGTACACACCAGGTCCGGCAGGCACATCGGCAGCCTTCATGGCGACGTCGCCGTCGCCAAGGAATCCGATGGGCTTGCCCCAGTTGTAGCTGTCGGTCACGAGCTGGGTGGGGCGACGGGGGGGGAAGAGGGAGGGCTTGGCCGATACGTCAAACAGCTTGTCGACGCAGTCAACGACGATGGTGCCGTCAAAGGCGACAGCCGAGGCGGCCGAGTACGTCAGGTCGACGCCGTCTCCCAGTGTCTCGGCGACGATGGTGGCCGTGACGTTCTCCGCGGCAAATGCCTTCTTCAGATCCGTGGCCTGGGACAAGTTGCAGCTGCCGCTATTCGAGGCCAGGATGCCGACCTTGAGCGTGGCGATGCTCGGGAGCTTGTGCCCAAAGATGCTGATGCCCACCGTCGTGTTGTCGTGGTAGTAGGTCGGGTCGGCCTCGGGAGCCTCCTGGCCGAGAGCTGAGGCGACGCGTACGGCAATGTCGTGGCTGACCTTGTTGAGCTGCTTGATCACGTTCTCCTGGATGCCCGGGCTGACCTGGCTGGTCTCGAAGCGGATGGCGTCGATGAGGAACTGCTGCTCAATCTTGCTGAGGGAGTTGTAGAACAGCCGTGGCTGCGACCAGTGGTCGGCAAAGGTCGAAGGGCGCTCGCGCACGAGCGAGCCCGAAGCCTTGCGAGTGGGCGCGGTGAAGAAGCCGCGGCCATTCTTCTGGTCAGCCTGCTTGGGGTAGCCCTTGTTGACAGTGTTGGGAGAGTCTGCTACTGGTCAGTCACCGCACCACACCACAGTGACGACGAGGTGGATGGGGCCAACATCATCTTCGACTTACAAGCAGCTGTGTTCTTGTGGATGATGGTCTGGCCCATGCCGTCGCGGTTGTTGTTGTGGATTGGAACGACAGGCCGGTTGATGGGGAGCTGCTCAAAGTTGGGGCCACCGTTGCGGCTCAGCTGCGTGTCGAGGTACGAGAAGAGACGACCCTGCAACAGAGGGTCCTCGGTGAAGTCAACGCCGCGCACAATGTGTCCGGGTTGGAACTGTCATTTGTCAAAAGTGTTAGTCTCTCGGTATTGGAAAACCACCAGCTGAGGGGGACATGGCATGTGTCTCTTACCATGATCTGCTCAGTCTCGGCAAAGTAGTTGGTCGGGTTCGTGTCCAACCTGAGCATGCCGAGGGGTTGCAGAGGCGCATACTCTTCGGGGACAATCTTGGTGGGGTCCAGGATGTCGAAGCCATAGGCAAGAGCCTTGTCCTCGTCAATGATCTGGACGTTGAGCTCCCACTCGGGGTAGTTCCCAGACTCAATGGCATCCCACAGGTCCTGGCGGTGGAAATCGGCATTCTTTCCAGCAGTGTTCTGCGCCTCATCCCAGACGAGACTGGCCCTGCCTTGCTGGGTCTTCCAGTGGAACTTGACAAATCTGGAGACTCCCTCGTCTGTCACGAATCGGTACGCGTGCACGCCAAAGCCATCCTAATGTCGGCAAGTCAGCCAAATTGTCACGAACAGGGTCTTCCCAGAGGGGCACGCACCATGTGACGGAAGCTTCGGGGGATTCCGTAGCCAGCCATGGCCCAAAAAAGGGTGTGGAGCGTCGTAGTCTGCTGGCTGAAGTAGTCCCAGGCAGTGTCGTGGGCGGTCGCGGCCTGGGGAATCTCGCGGTCGGGCTCGGGCTTCACGGAATGGATCAGGTCCGGGAACTGGGCGGCAGTCTGGATGAAGAAGACGGGGATGTTGTTGCCGACAATGTCAAAGTTTCCCTCGTCCGTGTAGCTGTGCAGGTGTTAGCCCTCGTCTACCACCTCCTGGGTCGAAAGGGCAGAGTTATATGCATATACTTACAGTCGTATGGCGAAGCCGTGAACATCACGAGCGGTATCAGCGCTGCCTCTGGAACCGGCGACAGTAGAGAAGCGAAGAAAGGCGGGAGTCTTTTTTCCCTTCTTGGACAGGAAGCTAGCACCGGTGATGTTGCTGAAGTCGCCGTAGCTGGTAAAGGTGCCGTGAGCGCCAGCACCACGAGCGTGGACGACCCTCTCGGGGACCTGCAGTTAGGATCCACGTTAGCAAGAGTATTCGTCTACGACTGGGTCCCGGGGGGTCTGCATCACCCTCTCATGGTCAAAGTGCTGCATCTTCTGGCGGAAAATGAAGTCCTCCAGAAGGGTAGGGCCACGGTCACCAGCAACGAGCAGCTCCTGCTCCTCAATCGGCCCACCAACGTCAGAGGTCATGAAGCCTTCTGAGTCGTCGACCTCGAACTGAGCGAGGTGGTCCCTGATGGAGCCATCATTCAGGCTACCCATACTGGCAAAGGGACATTGTGCCTGCGCCAGGCCAGCCAGTCCGATGGACATGACCAGTACCGCCGAGTGAAGCATGGCCAATATGTGCGTATGGTCCAAATAGGAAGCAAAGGGTAGGAGGGGGAGCGGTGATGAAGGTCGGACGAGGAGGGATCAGGTAGTAGTGAGACGATCAAGAACCGTCGTGTATTACATGCAGGTCCGGGGAGTAAACAAACAGGAATGAAACAGGAGTGAGATGGATGGAAGAAGAAAGGGAACAGGGAAAAAGAAGAAACTTCCCGGGAGCAGTATGGGGTAATAGGGCTGTATTAGTAGTTCTGGCTGGAAACAAAAGGTCTCAGTCAGTCACAGCCCATTTGTACCTGCCGTGTGTGCGGTCACGACTTCTTCTGGCAATATCTGCCAGAGATCGAATCCGTCCCCCATCCACACCCAAGCGGGGACCAATTACGGCTCTGGGAGGCATAATAGTTCTCATCACAGAGCATTTGACAGAGAACCCGGTTAAGCGAAGCCTTGAAGAAGGAGCATGAGAGAAAAGCATTGGCACCCGGGCCCCCTACCATGCTCCTGGAAGCCGCCACCTGAGCTCACCAAATCCATACTGATGTAACGGCGGTTTCTCACACCGGGCTAGCTTCCCTGCACTATGACACGTCTGGAAAATGGTGTTAGCTGGTAGAGGACATGACTTGGATCATCCGCAGGTACATGGAACATATCGTTAGGAGGAGGGGGGAGAGCCAAGGTGTCTTGGCATATCGCTGTCCCACTCATACAGAGTTGCGTAGACGACGAGTAGTGATATACTACTAGTAGTATATCCGTACATGTACTAATCATAATGCTTCATAGCCTTTCCGGGAAGATGGAATCCAGCAAGTGCCGTGATGGGAAAAGATTGCTAAGGCTAGAGAAGAGCGGAGCTGGCGCGTGAGGTGACGAGTGATTTGCCATTAATAATGGCAGTGTTTCCATAGGGCCAAGAAAGCAGGAGATAGATGGGAGACTAGGACTGGTCAAGACGAAAGCAGGGTACCCCAGGTGCTAATTTAACATTGCTACATATAGAATGACCCGATGGATGTTGCCATCGTCGTTCTTTTGATGGGGTACGCCGGTCCCACCGAATCCTTGGGTTGCCGAAGCTTGGGAATCCCCAGAATCGATGCCAGAGAGTATTACGTACCATGATGCGTACGGCTACGAGTAGTAAGCAGTATCGGCACGTCTGCATATGAGCTCTTTACTGCTTGCGGGCCTAGATGGGACCAAGGTAGAGATGGACTCGGGCAGAGTTAGCGATGAAGGATGGAGGCAAGCAAAGAAGATGAACACAGAAGAAACCCAGGGACGCCCTACGAGAGTGGCCTCCGTCTCACTGCAATATTACAAGAGAGTGACGACGATGTACACACACGTACAGACAAGATGAATACTTCCAGGCCCAGACTACTAGTAGTAGTAACCACCTGCATCAATATTGCCCGTAACATTCTCTAGTCGTGCATGTATGATTACAACGTCGTACAATGATCAATGGCTGCTGTACGCCGGAAACGTCACACCTCCCCTCTTACCCACGGGTCAACCTACTCGTAAGACGTAGAGGATTTTTTAATTCTTTCGCGAAAGTCTCTGCATCTTTGCTTGGTTGGGTCGTCGGCGTAAGGGGAACAGAGTACGTACATACAATAGTGCGGAGTAATGAGGAATCATCAGCCGAGACTAAAGTTCCGGGGTAACCTATGGGAAGTTGTGGAATAGTCAGGCAGAGAGGGGCACTGTTGAAATAAGCTCTCCGCTGGATCGACCGCGACTTGGCGGGCCGTGTGTGATGTACATGAAGCCCGTATTACATGATGTTTGATGTTGACTCAAGCTACTCGTATGTAGTACGTATTCATGTATTGAGGTACAGCTATTGAGGTACACCTAGGTGTACCCGTTCCTGTATGCCTGCAAGTCAGCCAACTCTTTCTCAATGATTTCTATTAATACTCTTTTCTTTTCTTTTCTTTTCTTTTCTTTTCTTTTCTTTTCTTTTCTTTTCTTCCCCTTCTCATGTTCCTCTTGGGCTTACGTGTTGTGTTGCCTTGTGGTCAATCTCGAGCTGTTCCATTGGTTGATGCGGTGATTTGAAGTGTTCATATAACATGTACGACTGTCAGCTATGAATAGAAGGAAGGCCCGATGATCCTTGTCTTTGTTCTTCCCATGCAGATAAGCATGGCCAGGTCTCTATTTTTTCGCCAAGGAATTCGTATGTAATATCTCTCCATCCCCTTCTCTCTTTTTTCTCCCCATTTGTCTTTTGTCTTTTGCATGTGTGCGTCGTACGAGTTGATGTTCCCGGGACATGTCGTATTGTTCTGCCGTTTGAAAAGGAAAAGTAAACTTCCCCCCTGCTTCTATCCCATTCGCTGTCGGGCAGATCCCCCCCTTCCTCTCCCCTATGTCTCGAATTGTGGCTCTTTTGATTCCATTGACCTTTGGGGCGATGAATGGATCTCCCTCGTACGAGTAGAGTCTGGGCGGCGCTTAGAGATCTGGAATCACTCGCTGAGGCATCCAATCCTGTTCTTTATACAGAGCAGGTACATGATATTGTGACTCCAGAGTCTCCAATGCCGGTACTGCGCCGAGTTTAAAATAGGGATGCTCGTTGCCTACGCCTACACACCAGACAGAGTACGGAAGGGGTCACCTGGGGGTTGTAATAGAGTAGACGGAATAATGCCTGTAGAAGCAACGAGCGGCAGAGAGGTGTGGATCCTAGCGTGAAGCCGTGAGCTCCATCCCTGCAGAGATGAGGAATCAATAGACTTAGCGTTTCAACCGCAAAAGGGAAAAATGATCGGGATTTGCGGCCTGTAAGTTGCGTGTGTGTGTGTGCGTGCGTGTCTGTCTGTCTGTCTGTCTGTCTGTCTGTCTGTCTGTCTGTCTGTCTGTCTGTCTGTCTGTCTGTCTGTCTGTCTGTCTGTCTGTCTGTCTGTNTGTCTGTCTGTCTGTCTGTCTGTCTGTCTGTCTGTCTGTCTGTCTGTCTGTCTGTCTGTCTGTCTGTCTGTCTGTCTGTCTGTCTGTCTGTCTGTATGTATGTATGTATGTATGCATGTGTGTATGCACGTATGTACGAGTATGTGTGCATCGGGTTGACGAGACGAGCCACACGGAAGAGGCAAGGAAGGATGAACAACCCTGGGAGGATACCGCCAGTTTCTTCAAACATCGGACGGGGTTACGGAGTAATAGGCTGCAAGAAAGGAGAGAAGGAAGTCTTTCAAGGGTATCGATTGCGGCAACCGCGCTTTGCTACTCTTTGATAGTTGCGTGATTAGCCATGTTGCGGTGTGTCCAGCATGGCCAACAAATACGGCGATGGGAACGAAGATGCTGCAGAGTGGCCACTGTAGCAAGGGGAGTGAGTAAATAGGAGAGGGAGAGAGTAGCAATACGGGTAAGATCGCTATTTGGACGAAGAATGCACAGAAATAACGGCAACCTGGATGCACCTAGGTGAATGAATATAAGAGTTGACTATGCAAAGCTCGCCATCAGTGCAATTCTCCCATCTGGTGCGCTGGCGCAATGGTAGCGCGTAGTCCTCCTACTACCTTTGTGTAAGGTGGAGCATAAGACTAAGGCTCAGGGTTCGAGTCCCTGGTGCATCGATGTTTTTTATCACATTTTGCACCTTTTCTGTCATTTCTGTGTGTCTCACTCTTTACTGACTTATTTAATATTTTATTTTCCGTTCGTCATTTTATCTCGGCGAATTTTAATTATTATTTTTTTTTCGTTTCACCCCCCAAGCTCCTGCTACGACGTACTTAAATAAGCTCAGCAAGGAAAAGGAAGGGAAGGGGAGGGAGAGAGAGGAGAGCTACCTGCCTACCGTAGTAACAGTAATATAATCCCGGATGGTCTGTTTTTGTCTCGTTTCTTTCCATGGATTTACGTTTCTTCTTCTTTTCACTTCCATCACCACGTATAGCTCCAATTGATCGATTTCTCGGGTTGCACGCATGAGCGAGGCTGCAAGTACAGCTGGCGCATTGATTCGCTGCCGCCACGATTTGAGCTGTCAAATACTTCCGTACAGAGAGAACGGGGGGAGGGGGAAGCCATGGAAATACTGCAGAAGAGAGAGGCACACGCGTGCCGGACAGCAGCGCGTGTTACACTTGGGCAGCACCGACTCTTCGCCTCGTCAATTGGTGGGCATCACGTTCGTACCGTCTCTCGAACTGCCATCGGTGAGCGCTGAACCCATCGGGCTCCGATCCATCTAGAGATCCCTGCACGACACAACGACCTATCTCCAGCCCCCTCGTTCCTCTCTTTTTTTTTTGGCCTTCCTTCTCCCGTCCTCCTCCCACGAGGCTTTAGTGGGTCAGTCGAGCAAACTGACAGCCTGCCCCACGCCCGTGTACACCGAAGAAGGGTCGTCGCCCAAAGAAAGAGAAAAAGAAAAACCGATCTTACTATTGTTCATTGCTGTCATATTTTCCTCATCCTGCTACGAACCCCATCATTCTACGCACAGACCTGCACAGACACACAGACACACGTTACACCCACATACGCTCAGATGGCAGGTATGGGCAGATCGCCGCACGGCGATTCAAGCTCCAACAAGCGCAACAGCATCACCAGCCGACTATTCGGGTCCCTGAGGGGATCCCGAGGGGACACATCGACCGCCTCTCTCGACCGCCGCAGCTCCTTGGTCGGTAGCAAGTCCCACACCGGTGGGAGTGGCAGCGGCGGCAAGCATCACAGCAGCAGCGGCGGCAATGGCAGTGGGAGTCCCGTGCCGCGCATCCGCGAGTGGCTGGACGCGTGCAACCGAGAGCACGACCACCACTGCGCAACCAGCTCGTCCGCCCCCGACCCAGGCACGTTCCGACCTGTCTGGCTCATCGACTCGGCCGAACGATGCCTCGTCCGTGCCAAACCTGCCAACCGCTATGTGGCGCTGAGCTACGTCTGGAGTGCCAGCGGCGCCCCGACCACAACTACGGCCGCCACCGCGTTGGGCACACCAGCGACATCGGCCGTCAGCCACCACAACCGCCGCCGCCGAAGCGACGACACGTCGTGGCTGCTGGTCAAGGACAACGTCGACGTCTTTGAGGATGCCCTGCCGGAGGACGACCTCCCGCAAACCGTCATCGACGCCATGTGGCTGGCGCGCAAGGTCGGGCTGCGCTACCTGTGGGTGGACAAGATCTGTGTGGTGCAGGACGACGCCCAGGAGGTCGAGGCCCACATCGCCGGCGCCGCGTACATCTTTGCCAACGCCTACCTGACCGTCGTGGCCGCCCACGGCACCATACACGACGGCCTGGCGCCCATTCGCCCGCGCAGGCCAGCCAGCCAGAGCGCCACGCCGCCCTCCAAGGGGGCCCACGACAACCTCGTGCGCCAGTCCAAGTGGAGCACGCGCTGCTGGACGCTCGAGGAAGGTATTTACTCGCGCCGGAGGGTGTACTTCTTCGAGGAGGCCGTAACGTGGCAGTGCCACTGCGACACCTGGGAAGGCACCCCAACGAGGCACCCACGCGGTTCGTCCCGCCGCGATACCTGCACCAGCACGCTTTCAGACGCCATCTTTGCCTACCGCCATGCCCCCTGGCCCGACCTGGACGAGTACGCCCGCATAGCGATGGACTACAGCGCCCGCCGCGTCACGTCGGTCGAGGACACAGTGCGCGCCTTCTCCAGCGTGACAAACGTCTTGTCCCGCATATTCCCTGGTGGCTTCCTCTACGGCATGCCCCTCATGTTCCTGGACATTGCGCTGCTGTGGCGGCCACAGGCATCGATACGTCGGAGGGCCGTCGCGAACCGACCGTTCCTGCCGTCGTGGTCCTGGATGGGCTGGTGGTTCGACGGCGTGGCGGTGGACCTGACGCTGTGGCGCGCCGCGGCCGACTACCTGCTCGACACCGCGGCCGAGCGGGCGGGCAAGTCGGCGGGCAGTACGGGCGGCAAGAGGCTTCAGTCGAACATCATGTTCAGGGTGAAGCCGACGATCCGGTGGGCCGTGTCGAATCGCACGACCCACGTGCCGGTGGATAGCTCCGGTCTGCGATACCGGGAGCTGCGGTCGCGGCGCAACGCTGGGGCGACGCTGCCCCCCGGGTGGGAGCGCAGCGGGGGGTCGTCGTACTTCACGCACGACAGCGAGGAGACGACGCGCTTCAAGTACCCCATCCCCGTCGAGGACCCCCCTGAGGACGGGGACTACCCGTCCGTGCCCAACGAGGTCGCCATGCCGGGCCCGCTGCTGGCCTTCCGCACCGACTCGGCCTTCTTCGAGGTCGACTACGACGCCACCCTGTCTCCGCGCGACGCAGACATGAACCCCTCCGTCGCCGTGGGCAACATCTGGTCGCACAAGAACCGCTGGGCCGGTTCGTTCCGCGCCCACGACGGCTGGCTGGGCGTCCAGTCGTCCAACTACGAGGGCGACGAGGCCCTCGAATTCATCGCCATCTCCACGGCCACGGAGCGCAAAGGATCCCACGTCTTCAACGAGGCGCAGTACAAGGCCAACGTCGGCCCGGACGAGCTCGTCGACATTGTCAATGTCCTCTGGATTGAACGCATCGGCGACATGGCGTACCGTCGCGGTCTGGGTCATATCCTCCAGAAGGCTTGGGATGACCAGACTAAGGAGGAGGATGTTGAGATCCTTCTTGGATAATGATGAAACGTACATTTCTTTCTTTTTCTGTCACTGTGCTTTTCTTTTCTTTCCTGTCCGTTCTGCCTACCTCTCTGGCTTTCTTTCTCTTCCTGTACCTTTTATAGGATGGGGGAGAGGGAGAGCGAAGATATATGTATGTGTGTGATGTTTGTTTCCTGGGCAGCTACTACGAATTTGCCGGTTCGGAATGGTGTTTTTTTTCCTGTTTTTTTGTTTTTGCATGAGATGCCATTATTCGACTGTATGAAGGGGGCGCTGTTCTTTCCGATCCTCTACTGTACTTTTTTTTTCCCTTTTTTTTTCCTCTTCTTTCTTGGTTGGCGAACCAAGTACTATGTGGTGATGTCGGCGCACTTACGGAATTGTGCTCTTTCAACGAACCACTTTTACAACGTTCCCTCCATCTAGAGACAATTCTAGGGTGACGAACATGAAATGCAGCGTTCATGTCAGAATAAAGAATATCTCGTGTAGCTGTAACTTCGGTCTAGCCTCCACCTTGACGGATATAGATTCCAACTCTTTGCCGCAGAATATGTCAATTGCAGGATTGGTGTAGAGGTTATCACGTAGTGCCCACATCAGTTCGGGGTCCACTAAGGTCGCGAGTTCGATCCTCGCATCCTGTACAGCTTTTTTTTTGCCATTTCTTCGTTTTTGCCTAGAGCCTAGAGGACATAGTACTCCCGAGTATTACCAGCCTCACTGTTGTGAAAAGGAAGGAGGAGGTGTTTGTCGAACTGTGTGTTTTAAACAGCTGTGGGACAAGTGCCGAGATGTGTAACAACGCAGCCTTGTTTAGTCCGCCTCTTCAAGTGTATGTACTCGTATAGCAGCAGAGATGCCATCAACAGCAGGGAAATGGATGGCCCGATTTTATTTTTTGCTAGCAGTTGTATATGATGTCTGTCTTGTAAAAATAGGACAGTCTGTTGTTGTCATCGTGAAGCTACACATAACCGCAAGACCTGGCCCATGGGGCTGACTGTTACGAGTATAAACGTACGAGTTATATAACTCAGCAAGAGCGGACGGTCGCAGCGGGAAGGAACTCCCCGCGAGAAAGGACCCGCTCTTGCGAATTAATAGAAAGAAGAAAAACAACAAAGCTTGATCGGTTTTGCTATGGGTATGCCCGGACCAGGATGTGAGGTTTGGCCAATGTAAATATTGTCACTATTATGTCAGGGATGCTGCCCACTATGAAACGTGTACTTCATGCCGACTTTTTATGTTTATATAACTAGGGCCACTTGGCATTGTCAGTCCTTCAGCTCGGCACACCCCGTTGTTTACTCGTGCGGACCAGCGTCGATATCCGCTCGGCTTCTCCTACCAAAGGCCCTACATGAGTACGGACGAGAGCGAAGGATTCTTCAGTATGTGGCATGTCTTGTGCTGCGCCATGTATCAGTGCCATGAATCATCATTAGTTTAGTGGGCGAGAGAGAGGAGAAGGGGGAAAAGTGGCTCAACTGCTCACCCTCCCCCCGCGTCGGGAGACATTAGACTACCCTAGGCGTCATCTATTTATTTTGTTAAATCTTAGGATCTCAGCGATTAGTTCGAGTATAGTAATACTTTCTGGCGTCTGTTTCCGAAGAGCAGGGCTTTTGCTGAACAAGGGCATTCGAGGGCAGTAGAACGTAGGTGAAGAGTAAACATGTCCATGCTGCCGTTACTATTGGTTCTACTATATCGGCACTACGGCATAACACCAGCAGTAGGGTACAGTCGTAGAAGCAATCGTCGCATCTTATTGCTCGTATCGCCGTGCTGTCTCCATGGCAGCAGCATGTACATGTATGTACAGTTGCGGGTAGACAGGCAACGGTCAGTGGCCAATGCTAAGTCAAGGAGCGGCCCCTCCCTCGAGAGGAGCTAGAGGACCAGAGAGAGGTGCAGCAGCACGTACATGTAATATGTATTATGTTGTACGCATACAAAGGCTACGACAAATGGTGCTGATGCTAGACACTGCGCACGGGCCTAATCTACAAGTGTGCGATGATGGTCGTAATACGTGTTGCTAAGCAGTAGCTAGACAAGGCCATTGTGTGTCTGCTGTACTCGTACTTGAGAATGGAGCTTCGGTCATATGGGCATGCTGCAAATAATAACAAAACGCTTTGCATCATTATGAGTAACATGATAATATCTAATGCATAAACGAATCACAAGAGCCGAGTATAAGATAACGCGCGCAAAAAAAAAAAAAAAAAAAAAAAGAGAAGAAGCTTGCGCATTTCACACTACACGGAATTTTCAACAAGTAATACTCCGTATCAATTGCAGTAATAACAACAATAACTTGTATTACTGGCACGTGAAAACAGTGAGAAAGAGAGAGAAAACGACATGCAGGGGGGGGGGGGGGGGGGGGGAAGAGAGGGGGGGAGGAGAAGCATTCAAGGCCCACATGACGATGTCGCACCTCTTGAGGTTTCCCTGGCAACGACAGCGATAAAAACCGCGGGGACACTATTGTGTTTGTTTTGACCTGGTCCAATGACGGCTGCCAACGCTTTGTTGACCAGAGGGTCGTCGCCCTTAAACCATCGGGAACCCGCCTTCCCGCGCATCTCCTTCCCTCCCTCGCAACACTAGGTTTGGGACAAATCGTCATCACTTGTTGTCCTCAACTGTCATCTCAATTCTTCCTTCTTCCTTCTCTTTTTTTTGTGTCTTTTTTTTAACAACTTGCGGCTTCCCGTCTCGCCTCTTAGTTCCGTTCCGAATAGTCGGTCTGCTCTTGCTGCTTCATCCTTTTTATTTCCCAACCATCATCATCATCCGTCTTTGCTTGAATCCACATTCACTACCTTGCAACATTCCTTTGTACGTGTGGCCTTGATTTGTTTTGTCTTCGACAGTCGCGTGCCAACGTGCCCACGTCTGGCATAGGCCCGAGGGAGAAAAAAACATCTCAGCTCAGCCAGTATGGCTTCTGATCCGGTATGTTTACCTTCCTTTACTAAAAACAAACAACAAACGGCCTCGTCTATTGTGACTACTACTACTACTAGTGTGAATCGTTGGAACTAACCTGCCATCCTCCCTTGCCTTTCCATCATTCAGGTGCACCCGCTTCGCATCCACAAAGCCACTCCCAACTCTTCACCATTCAAGATGACTGGCGGGGCGTCCCGTCCGCTATCTGAAATCTCTCCTATGGAGAAGAGGCGAAACTCCCCGAGCTGGTACCATCCTGCCACGTCGCCCAAGGTGAGTTGGTCTCTGGAATGCAACAGCTCTAGGCGCGCCTCATCACGTCCTCAATCTGACACAGTAGTCCAGAAATCCGGAGTCAGCACAGACTCATCGCCATTCCAGTCCTCCCCTCCCGAGGTCGCCACATCGCCTCGCATGTTTTGGCAGAACCGAAACTCCGAGAATAAGCTCTTCGGTCGTTCAGGTTCTCCTTCACCAGTCCGACGGTCTTCCATCGAACGTCTCCAGAAAGCCTCGCGCGTCAAGAACAGCAACATCCTGGCTCTCGAACAGAAGCAGGAATATGACCCAACTAGGCTCCCACAGATCGAGAGACCCCTTTCAAAGCTACAGGGGAGCCCGTTTCGCAACTCCTACTCGAGCGGCCTCCGCTCTCCAAACAGCAGTGAACGCACCTCTGTCGACTTCGATCGGCCTCGCAGCTTGATGATGAGCCCCAAATCCACCGTTGACGCCGCGAGCCCCTCGCCATCGCCCACCAAGTCGTCCATGTCCCCCACCAAGCTCAACCGCAGCTTCAACCATGACTTGGCCCACTGGTCGGCCGAAAACGTGGCCGACCTTCGTCGGCTGCCCAACGGACACTCCCTGCACCGCCACGCCAAGAGCGTCACATTTGACGCCGCTCCTCCCCAGGTCAACGAGTACGAGATGGCCACTCCTGACCTCTCATCCATCGGCACAAATTCGCGAGAAGGCAGCTACGAGTCCATGGGAGACGACGACGACGATGACGACGACGACGACGACGATCTTCTCTACGACCCTGCGCGCATCGAGCCGCACGAAGAGAGCTTTGATGCCTCCCTCGAAGACACGAACAAGACGCCAGTCGTCGGCCCTGACGAGTGGCGGGGTGACAGCCCCATGACCCAGCAGCAAGACCGCTGGGATTCCAGCCCAATGCCCCACGCCTCCCCCATGGACATCGATACCCCGGAGACGCCCAGGGGACGCTCCGGCTCTGTAAGCTCCAATGGCGAGCACCGTCCCCTGCCCCCTCTCCCCGACCTGACTGCTCCTCCAAGCCACGCCAGGAGCCAGTCTGGCGCTTCCTCACCCGCCTCGCCTGGTCTCTCTGCCACGGCCGAGAGGCTGCTCGGTTCCCACAGAAGCCTGCCTCCGCCGCCTCCCGCCTCTTCGACCACAAAGTCGGATATTCAGAGCATTGGGAATGGGCGCATGACACTCGAGGAAAGGCTGAAGCTCATGATGTCGACTGATGATAACGGCAAGTCGGCTGCTGAGCTTCAGCGTGAGCGCCGTCTGCGACGTGCCAACGGTCGCGAGCGCTTCAGCAGCCCCATATCCGACCCTGAGGTCAGCGTCACCGACCTTGACGAGGCCACCGAGCAGCATGAAGCGGATGACACCGTCGGCGACATATCGGCACTGGACGATTACCAGTTTCAGACCCGGATCTCGCGGGAATCCATCATGCGTCGCGTCAATGGAAACAAGGACTTTGAGCGTGAGTCCGACTACAACTTCTCCTCGCCGGCTGGGACCCCCAGCCCTCGTCGCAGCCTGGCCAGGAACCCCGAGAGGCAGACACCCCTCGACCCTGATGTGCCTATCCCGTCCACTGAGGAAGCGCCTCTGGATGATATTGACGAGGATGACGAGGAAGACGAGGGGAGTGTAATCATCAACCGACCTGCCGAGGGCGAGTACGATGACGAAGACACCTTTGAGGACTCGTACCTCTCTTCGGAAGTCGATCTCCAAGACCGTGACCCGCGCCTCGATGAGGACGACGGAAGCCACTACTCTGGGCAGAACTCCTTCGACAAGGAGGAGGAAGAGGGGGAGATCACGAATGCCACCACACCTGAGGCCGTAAAGGAAGCCGCTCCAGAGCAGGCGCGCACACCTGAGCCCGAGGAAATCCACACGCTCCGTCCCACCACGCCTACCCACGAATCTGGTCTTGGCCAGTCTCTCCCTGACCTCGGTCCTCACACAAGACAGTCGGACACTGCACGTGGACTCGAGTCGAACACCCTCTCCAAGACTCAGGAGGCTGGGGAGGCCGAGGATGAAGTCCGGCCTAAGAGTCAAACCCCTCAAACCCCACGGACTCCCATTTTCCATGCTCCCAAGCCTGAGTATGACGGCTCTGGATGGGGTGAACCTGATGAGGAATATGAGGATTACTCTGATGAAGAGGGCTCTGTCATACACCACCACGTGTCGGAGGACGAGGACAGCATCTTTGAGGATGCCCCCGAAGAGGCCCCCGCTATCCCTGAGAGGATGGCAACTATCAAGGCCTCTGGCTCCAAGCTCAAGACGCGTGTCTCCAACACACCCTCGGACCTGACAGCCATGCGAGAGGCTCGTCGACATGTCAGCCAGGAAATTCCCGAAGTGCCGCCGATCCCTCAGAAGCACCGCAGCAGGCTGTCTCGCGAGCCTGGGTCGGATGACCCAACTTCGGACGGCGACGTATACCTCGAGCGCCATCCCAGCTTCAAGGGTCGCAGCCTGCAGCTCGACCTCGATCTCGGTCTCAGCCTCGACCAGGATTTCGAGAGGGTCATTGAAGCACAGAAGCGCGGATACCTCATGCGCCAGAACACCAAGGTCGTGACGGCCACCGACAAGGATGGCGATGAGAGCCGCTTCTCTCACCTGAGCGCCAATTCGGCCCCCGCCAATAGGCCCCAATCATGGGTTGTTGAGCCGTGGAACAGCAAGGCTCGCAGGAGCAGCGTCAAGAAGCAGGCGCCGGCCAACAACACCGGTCCTGTGCCGCCGATGCCCGGCCAGCAGAGCAACGCGACGGCCCTCAAGGGTGTCGTCGAGGAAGAGGAGCAGGCAGAGCCCGCCCTGCCGGAGACGGGCGAAAGGGGCCGCCTTTTCATCAAGGTCATGGGCGTGAAGGACCTGGACCTGCCGCTGCCCAAGAATGAGCGGACGTTCTTCAGCCTCACGCTGGACAATGGTGTCCACTGCGTCACCACGGCCTGGCTGGAGCTCGCACGCAACGCCCCCATAGGCCAGGAATTCGAGCTCGTGGTACCCAACGACCTCGAGTTCCAGCTGACGCTCAATGTCAAGCTGGACAAGCCACCGCCTGTCAAGGTAAATGCTTCGCCCGCCAAGATGGCCAAGCCGAAGACATCAACCTTTAGCCGCGTGTTTGCCTCACCCAAGAAGCGCAAGGAGCTCGAGAACCGCGCGCGGGAGGAGGAGGAGCGCTTCGCCCAGCAGCAGAGGGACGCGCAGGCGCGTCACCACAATGCTGCGCCTACGGGCTACGATCTCCTCTCTCCCCTGGCCGCCGAGGACGGTAGCTTCGCTCGCTCCTACGTGTGCCTCAAGGAGCACGAGCACCGTTGCTTTGGCCGCCCATACATGGCGGAGATTGCCTGCTTCAACGAGTGGGCTACCGAGGAGGCGGCGTTTGCCTCGAGCGTGAAGAGCAAGCGTGGCAACACGGCCGTCGTCAGGCGTGCCCCCTACAAGGTTGGCAAGCTCGAGGTGCAGCTCCTCTTTGTCCCCCGTCCCAAGAACACGACGGATGATGACATGCCCAAGAGCATGAACTCGTGCATCAGGGAGCTCAAGGCTGCTGAGGAGAGGCTCTCCCACAACTGGGAAGGTCATCTCAGCCAGCAGGGTGGAGACTGTCCCGTAAGTTTTTTTTTTCTCCCGCTCTCTCATCCCGCACATGTCCTCCCTTTCTCTTTATTGATACGTATTCACTGACAACGGTCAACAGTATTGGCGTCGCCGCTACTTCAAGCTCGTCGGTGGAAAACTGACGGCTTACCACGAGTCGACTCGCCAGCCCCGCGCCTCGATCAACCTGGCGAATGCCAAGCGCCTTATTGACGACCGTCAGAGTCTGACGGAGAAGGAGACTATGATCAAGGGCGGCAGGCGTCGTCGGTCGGCATTTGCCGAGGAAGAGGAGGGCTACATGTTTGTCGAGGAAGGCTTCCGGATTCGGTTCAACAACGGTGAAGTCATTGACTTTTACGCGGACACAGCCGAGGACAAGGATGGCTGGATGAAGGTGCTGTCCGAGGTCATCGGGCGTGAAGACCACAGCATGGAAGACGATCCTGGCCGCCCTCGGTCGCGAGCCAAGTGGTGCGAGCTAGTCCTCAAGCGCGAGGAGCAGATGCGTCGCCGTACAGAGTCACGCCGAGTTTCAAATGGTCGGCGCGTTCCATCAGGCCGTCGCGTATCGGCAGGTCGCCGAGTGTCAGTAGGTCGGCGGGTACATTCACGGACCAAGAGCATGTTTATGTGAAGGACGAGTAACGTTGGACAGGAATTGATAACGTGTGCGGTCTGATGATGATAAGAACGACACTCTTGCTTTTTTTTTTTTCTTACGAAGACAGATACACCTTTTTGGCCTGGCGTTTTTCTTTTTCTTTTTTGAGGATGTACAAATGTAGCATTTCTTTTTTTTCCTTGTTTCTCTTCTGTTTTCTATGCTTCAGGTTTCTTCTTGTCTTTCTTCTCTCTTTTCCTCTTCCATTCGAAGCTGAGCTGTACTACTACGGCTCAGATATATTGTCTATTGGTATTTTTTTTCTTGTCATGCAAATGGCTTTCTTTTCGGTTTTCCTCTCTTGATCTCTGCTACTTGTGGTTCTTTATTACCTTGTATTTTTTTTACAACTCAACTTGGAGAAGTTTTTTATTCATCGGTCTAGAGGAGGCGGAGGCGGAGGCGGAGGTGAATGGGGCGGCGAAAAAAAAAAAGACAAAACGATCCGCTGGCGTAATCAGGTATTTTCTTTGTTTGTTTTGTTTTCTCTCTGCTCTCGTTATCGCTGCCTTTTTTATCTCTTTCTTTCTTTCTTTTTTAATTTCGTTCTCTCATTTATTCGGTAATCCTCCTACTACCTAGTAGTAGTAGTAGTATTCTTGTATCGCGGCCAATCTGCAGGGGATGAGGTGAAAAGAGGAGATGGGTGTGGAGGAGGTGTGGGTTCAATGATTGGATCGCGTTTCAACTTCTTGTATCAAAGGCTGAGGTTTTACTATTGCAATAAAAAGTTTATAAGTTTTAATTTTGTTGTTATTATTACTTCTATTGATATGATGCTCTCGACTTTACTCCTAGAGAGACTCAGTCGTATTACCTTGCAGACCGGCTCTCGGTGGTTGGCCGAAGGAGAATGGCATATACTAAGTCACGTGATTCATCTCTCGTCGTCGTGGAACAGGGTGGCTTAGAGGGCTCTCTCTCAATGCCTTTCTTCTGGTCCATTCCTAGCCCCGTAAAAAGAGAGAGAGAAAAGGATACGTACCTTTTCTCCCCCTAAGCTGTAGGGAGTACATGTACATGTAAGAGTAGAGAGATTCTTGAGGGGGGGGGGCGGTTGAGAAGCCGCACAGCAACGAGCAACCAGTAGCAGCAGCTACTACGGTACTCAGTACTCTACCTCTACTAGCACCACCAATATTACGACGTACGGTCGCTCCTTGCCCAATTCGTTTAAACTGCCGCCCTCTCATTCTCTCCAGTACTGTTCTCAGTATCTGAGGGATTCATATCCTTCCTCTCTTCCCGACACTGTTCCCTACATATCGACATCAACATAAGCACTTTTCGTGACTCAAAGAACACACCGTCAACATGTCTGGTCGCTTCGTTCGCGCGTCAAAGTACCGTATGCTTCTCACCAACCGCCCGCGCACCCCAGCCAGCCAGCTTAAAGTGATGACCTGATCTTACCTGACCTCGACAACATCTAGGACACGTCTTTGGCAAGTCGACGAGGAAGGATTCCTGCTACGATAACCTCCATATTAGCCGCAATGCGTGGGACACCAACCTGGTCAAGGTATTACGCTCTCGAATAAGATCGTTGGGGAGGGAAGGGAGGGAAGGATGTGGCTGACGAGAAGGTCGAACGAAAACCAAATAGGTCAACCCTGAATACCTCTCCGTCAACTGGGATGCTTCTGGTGGTGGCGCTTTCGCTGTCATCCCCCTGAATGAGAGGGGCAAGCTGCCCGATGTCATCCCCCTGTTTCGCGGACATACTGCTGCTGTGCTCGACACCGACTGGTAAGTATGGACCACGCCCTGCACGGCAGACACACGAGAACGAGAATAGTGACTTGCTGACACGGCAGACAAGGAACCCTTTCAACGACCGCATCATTGCCTCGGCATCCGAGGATGGCAAGATCTTCATCTGGGAGGTCCCCGAGGGGTTCACCCTCTACACTGACGCCGAGGAGATGCCTGATGTTTCGCCCGTGAGCAAGCTCAAGGGCCACCCCAAGTGAGTTCTTTTCTTTCCTCATCTCTGTCGTCGTGGGGGAGGGATAGCGCTCTGCGTGATTATGACTGACCGATCCCCTTGCTTTGCTTCAGGAAAGTCGGACAGGTCAACTTCAACCCCTCGGCCGAAAACATCCTAGCCTCGGCCTCAGGCGACTTCTCCATCAAGATCTGGGACATCACCACAGGCCAGTCGCCCCTCGCCCTCAAGCACGCCGACGTCATCCAGAGCCTGTCCTGGAACGCCAGCGGCAGCCTGCTGGCCACTACGTCGCGCGACAAGAAGATCCGCGTCTGGGACGTCCGCCAGGAGACGCCCGTTCACGAGGTCCAGGGCCACGCTGGGGCCAAGAACAGCAGGGTCGTCTGGATGGGCGAGCACAACCGCTTCGCCACCACCGGGTTCTCTCGCATGAGCGAGAGACAGATTGCCCTCTGGGAACCGGGGAGGGCCGAGCCCATTGGCGGATTCTCCCTCATCGATAATGGCACTGGTGTCTGCATGCCTTTCTGGGGTGAGTTCTGGAATATCTCGGTAACGATATATATATGTATATATATCCTCTTGAAGCTGACACCGCTCTCGCCTTCAGATGACGGTTCCAACTGCCTTTACCTTGCTGGAAAGGGGTGAGTGTGCTCTTGACACGAGAAGGTTGGTGAATCAGGCTAACTTTCTCTCCCTCTCTCTCTCTCCCTCCCTCTCTCCCAGTGACGGCAACATTCGTTACTACGAGTACGAAAACGACAAGTTTGAGTTCCTCAGCGAGCACAAGTCTCTGGACCCCCAGCGTGGTCTGGCCTTTATGCCCCGTCGTGGTATCAACGTGAGTGCTTTGGTAGAGAGGAGGTGAAGAGAACGGAAGGAGGAGGGGGAAGAGAGTCCATATATCTGACACACTTCCAGGTACACGAAAATGAAGTCATGAGGGCCTACAAGACGGTCAGCGACGCCTACGTCGAGCCCATCTCATTCACCGTCCCCCGTCGCGCCGAAACGTTCCAGGCCGACATCTTCCCCCCGGCCGTCGGTATCAAGCCTGCCGTGAGCGCCCAGGAGTGGCTTGACGGCAAGACTGGCATCCCCACCAAGATCGACCTGGGTGATGTGTACGAGGGCCAAGCCCCCAAGGATATCGCCTCGGACTACAAGCCTGCGCCCACCCCTGCCGCCGCCCCCAAGCCAACTCCCAAGCCTGCCCCTGAGCCCAAGAGTGAGGAGCCCAAGCCTTCGGTGGCTGTGCGCGGCCCGCCCCCCAGCGTCAATGATCAGAAGAGTTCGATTGCCGCCATGGCCAGCAAGTACCAGGACAACGAGGGCGGAGACGGCGAGGACGACGAGGATGACGATGACGCCTCCAGCTTCGAAGAGATTGCCAAGCCTCCCCAGCGTGCCACCCAGCCACCTGCCAAGGTTGAGACCAAGCCTTCCTTCCCGTCTGCTGCTTCCGCCGCCGCCCCGCCACCGGTCAAGACTCCGACGTACGCTCCCTCATCTGCTGCTGCCGCTGCTGCTGCCACTACTTCGGCCAGCGCCAGCAGCGGCTCCGACTTGTCGTCCCTGGATCAGATCAAGCAGCTCCTCGAGAACCAGGCCAAGATGATGTCGGCCCAGAACGACAAGATTGGCATGCTGGTCTCGGAGGTGGACGCTCTCAAGAAGCAGGTGGGCGCTTCGTCTTCACAGGACCAGAGTGAACGCATCAGGCAATTAGAGCTCGAGCTTGAGGAGGCTAGGTCCTAGATCTTGGAAGTCCTAGGTCTTGAAGGTCCTTTTTTTTCTCTGATGGGGTCTACTGTTGTCGTATGGTCGGTTCAGGGGCTTTTCTACCGTATGCAATGTACATGTATGTACGAGTATGTATGTGTGTGTTTCGTACAATAGGTTCTTAATGTGGCCGTGGTGATGGGGATGTTGTAAGATGGGAGAGGTGAAGTTTTTTTTTTTTTTTTTGAAAATAGATGTAGGTAGCCAGCGTGATGTTGTCAAGTCTGATGTTTGTCAAGTCTGCTTGTCCGAGGTGATGTTTGTCAGGGATGAATGGGAACTTGAAGTCTTGAGAATACATAGTTGAGGTTGAATCTGAATCTGTTGTGGACTACCCTGTACTGATGTTGAACACTCCAGGTAATTTTTTTCTCGCATAATTATATACTCTTTTAACGACATGGTCATTGATAGTGTGATGTTGAATCGAGTGCCTCCGTGTCTGAAGAAAGGCAGAAAGAATATTTCGTCAACAACCAAGATATTGAGTCGGGTACTATTATATACAGGATAGTCTTTTTTCTCTTCTCCTTCTCTCTTCTCCCTATTTCCTTCGTAATGAGATGCTCAATCCTTACAGTAAAAATTTTTTTTTTTAAAAAAAAAAATAGATATGTGATGCAAAGACATGGATGATGAAAGGAACATACGCATCAAAGGACAAAAAAAGAAGAAGGTTTCTATGTCTATCAACAAAGGTTAACGGCTATCGAAAAGAGCAATGAGCAAATGATGAAGGGGAACAATGATGAAAAAAAATCTCTTTCTCTCTTTCTCTCTCTCTCTCTCTCCAAAAAAAAAGATGGAATCCTACTTTTTTTTTTTTCTATTTCTGGCTACGGCGGCAAATCTGATTCATTATTACTCTGATTTCCAAAAAGGAATAGAGAAGAAACATAGCGTAAGAAGGAAAAAAGAAGGAAGGGAAAAAAAACCTGTGGCAGTCAAAACATTGCGTACGCAATCATGTTTATAGTGCCTCAAGATGGATGAAATAGTCCCGCACTGGCGGAGTGAAGAGGAAATGTTCTCAGTGTCTCAGATATTCGGCGAGGACCGGGGGGGCTCAGCAAAAAGCAAGGCCAGGGCAAGAGGTGTGTATTCAAATTATTACGTGTAGAATCAATGAGCTCAGAGGAGGTTCAACGATGACACAGACGGAAAGAAAAAGTCAGAAGAGAATATCTGCCAGAATATTGCGGCCTCGGGGACGGGTCAACAAAAGGTCTGGTGACAAAGGGAAATGATCAATGGGGTCTACCCCCAAGCTACATGCGTAGCTGAGGAATCCAACATCATGACAAGAAAGAGAAACCAACCCCCCCCCGCAATATCCACAATGATGGACATTATTCGAAACGGTTACAGATTCTGTAGGGATCACAAAGGTCCCTAGAGAAGGAAGCTCTTGGATCAGTCACTCCGTCATCACACGCGTCCGCAACCGCATATAGCACACTACATGATATGAACAAATAAAAGGAGGGGCGGGGAAGAGGGAGAAAAAGAGAAAGGACTGCCGTTACTCAGTAATACTAGGACCTGGTCAGTATAATCACACAAGTGACTACATAATACTTACTCGACTTGACGAGTTTCATCTTCATCCGAGCAGAAGTCTCGGGCGCCAAGGAGAGGGGCGCGAGAGAGAGAAAGAGGGATAGAGAGAGAGACTCGCGGATGCCAAGTTTCGGCCTCTCAGTTCTCTGTCGTCACGTTACCGTACCTGTACAACTATGGATCATGGTAGCGACCAAGGTCTCTCTCTCACACACACACTCTCTCAACATTTTCGGTAGACTCATGCCCGTAACTGCCGACGCTCTCTCTCTCTCTCTTTCTCTCTCTCTTTTAGTCAACGCGCGCTCTAGAGAGCATGCATATATGCACTGGCAGTACTACAGTGCATGGAAACCAACAGCTGAAACCGGTCGAGGCCGAGGGGGGCAAGGAAAGTCCTCAATCGATGGTCTTGTTCAGCGTCACAGGGCCATGCTCGTGGCCCCATTCACCAATCCCGTCGGAACTTTTCATGCAAGGCACGCCAATAGCGTGAGAACCAGACACGACGGGTGGTGGACCGTTGCAAGGATCCGAACAGAAATACCACCCTCCCTTGTCAAGTCGTACTTGCACGGAGTTCCATAGCTTTGACGTGCAAGGGTTGTCATTCAGCATCTGTATGAGTACTCGTATATTCGTGCTGGTAGACTCTGTTGGTGAAGAAGAAAAGGGTCACCACTTAGTTATAGAGAGGGAGACAGGTATAGGGAGAAAGAGAGAGGGATAGAGAGAAAGAGAGAGGGGGAGGTTGTGGTGGAGGTCATGATTGTGGTGGATGTGGTAGAGAAAAGACCCCTGACCAAAAGGCGCGTTTCAGGTCAAGAATAGGCTGCCAGTGTAATTTGTACTCCACAGACTCCAAGAACTAATGCGGCAGGGAATAGGAAGCAACGGTCATGGTACTCATGACGGCAAGATTGAGAGGGTTGCTCGTAAAAGGAAACAACATCTCTGTGTGCGCGTGTGTGTCGGCCGCTAGCGTTGGCGATATGAGCAGACAGTCGCTGCACTATCGTTGGGGGCATATAGAATGCAGACAGACCATGTGGTGCAAGGTGGGATGATGGACAGGCGATACGAGACATCCCGACCACCAGTGAAGCTGAGGGAGAGAGAATGGAAGGGACAGAGACAGGAGAGAGAGGCTAGCTGATATGGGGTTGCATATGCCGTGGTAATAAGAGGCAGTGCTCTCTCGCACGAGGACTCGGTCGGTGGGATATATGCATATGAAGGTGGGTAGGCTACGGATTGTAGAGTATCGTAGTATTCCTAGTCGCAGCAGTAGTGTTAGCATGTGCGGACTATTAGCACTGACAGCTCACAGCAGTAGTACGCAGTGATACGCTGCAGCAGTAGTGATATCGAAGTACGAGCACGAGGCGGAGTCGGCAGATGCACGTATTGACGGGCTGATGGATGGATCCTCGAAGGCTAGGTCCTAGGATGATGGATCGGACAGAGTGGTAGCGGTAGTGGACACTGAGCTACCTAGAGGCTAGAGGAGTACTCGTATAGAGGCACCGGTGATGGTGGCTATGGTGGTCAGACGGCAAGTGGCCGTACATGATATGATGATCGCAAAGTCGATGACCGGGGTGGTTTGAGAAAAGAGGCTACCCTGTCCAATGTGCATCGGCTGGGCTGGTTTCGGGGACGACGGGACGGGACGGTCCCTTTCGAAGGTGGTCAGGTGACCTCTTCTTCCTTCTCTTTTCATTTTCTGATATTTGACCGATCAAAAGATGCATGTACGAGATTGAGGAAGGAGCGAACCATTCATCGGATAATCATATTCACGCGGAGAGTCATTTTAGGTGACGTTGTATATGAGTATGTAGCCGTTGTTCTTGATCACATAACAGCTGCTAGCCTGGGCTGTTGACTGAGCTCCTCTGTCAAGACCTCTGCAAATACCTCTCTAAATCTCTCTATGATGATTACATCTACAAGAGCCCATAAACTTGAGCGCGTAGGCTCTTGTTTGCGTAGAGAAGACTCATTATATAGGCATAGGCCGCTGTAGAGGGAGAGGAGATGGAGGAGGAAGAAGAAGAAGAAAGAAAGACGGCAGGAGCAGCCGGTTGACGACATCGTGACACTACTACTAGAGACGGGCATGCGAGTAGCCATAGCACCTGGAGACGGAAAGAGTGACTCGTACTGCTGCTGTAAGAACCCGTTACATTAGTCTGACAAGAGAGGTGCTAGCCTATCAACATCAACAGTGTTTTTTTTATTTTTATGTTAAAAATTTTTCTTTTACTTTGCTAGCAATAATAGTAGCTACAGCTATGACCTGAAACGTCCCCCAGTAGGTATGGCGAGCCCTTTTCGGAGAAGCAACATTGATACTCCGTAACCGATGCAAGGGGTTTCACCTTCTTGGTACAGATTACTGTCCGCGCAAATCAGTATAGCACTTCTAGGGAATCAAGTTTTTATTGTTTGTCTCCTCTGCTCCCTTTGTTCCCCTCCCTGCAGCGTGGATGTGAATCATACAGATACATGATTTGCCCCTGTACCTGGTAGCTGGCCGTAAGAGCAGCCGACTGTGCGGCCAATGTACGGGCAGTGTTGGACAGGTGCTGGATACAGCCAGCGAGTATTGTTGGCCTATCGGGTACAGGATCGTCAGGCTCCAGCATCCAGCATGATGACATTGTATTATCACTCCGTACCTCGGTACTAACCCGTGCGTCTATCGGCAAGTGTACCCCCGTACTCTGTGCAGATACAGCATCATTGTCTTGTCACGTTCAATTGTCGTCGTCGTCGTCGTGCATCAAAGTGTCGGCACGGAGACGGTTGATTGGACCGGTTGTGGGGATTAAGCTTGAGGGCCTAATTTTAGCATGGATTTTGTCTTGTCTGGTGCTCAGTCATTGTCTCTCATTGCTTAGGGTTTATTGTATGTTTATTGTATGCTACTATTCGTACGTGCTATACGGAGTACATGTAATCTGTACAGATTACAGGTCGCGCGGCCCGGAATCTGCTCGTGCTCGTACCTGGAATTATGGATCTTGACCTGTCTAGAAGCTGTCTAGTCTTGGGGCTATCAATCCTCTAGGCTCTAGTAAACCTGGCGTATAGCTATCAATCCACCTGTACCTGTCTTAACCGCCCACTCACTTTCGGGCGGCTGCATCGGGACCCAGTCAACGCACGCGAGATGATTCTGCTTGCTGCTGCTGCTGCTGCTGCTGCTTGCTGCTGTTACCCGCCTGCATCTCGCAAATCTATCACCGTCCCACCTTCTCTTCCTTCCTTTCTCTTCTCTCTCTCTCTCTCTCTTTTGCCCATGTTTGAAGGAATGTGAGCACGGTCGCATCGTACGCGACCACATGGCTACGGCGCCAAGAGTCTCCGTTCGGGAATGTGTGGTGATGCCATCTATTTCCTACCCCCCC